TCTAAACATTTTTTCTATTTCTCCATGTATCACCTCTGGATTGCAATTCAATGCCAGGGCCAACGCTGTCACAACTTCCTCTTTAAGTTTCTCTTGAGGGTCTTCTGGGAGACCCCTGATTCTCAAAGCAAATTCTAATTGTTTGTACTGCATCAGTAACATATCATTTTGAAGTTTCCACTCCCTCCTCTACCTTTTCAATTCTGTCCTCCGTTCCCTCCATTTTCTCCACTAATTCGTCCACTCGTCCCTCTACACGATCAATGTGAGTAGCAAGTCCTTGGAAAATATGTGATAAATTTTCACAAAGTTCCTGGTTTTTCTTATCCAAAAGTTCTTCTGTTTGTTTCAAAGTCTGCAATGAGGACTTGGCTAGAGCCTCTTGTAAATCTTTGAGTGTAATGGAGGGAGGAGATGTTGGTGGGGGAGATCTAGGTTTTTGTTGTTGAGTTTGCACCACAGGAGAAGAAATAGCTGTTTTAGACAACGCAGGAACAGTACGTTTTGAAGCCATTCTGCCAGATTATTTTTCTTTCTTTTTTTCTTTTTTTTTCTTTTAAAAGTCACTGCAAATATAAGCTTAAAAAACTTGATTTTAAACTAAAAAAAGAAACTTAAAGTCCATTAAAATCCACACCCGGAAAGAAAGTGAAAGTTTTCCTTTTGTTAAAAAGAAAGGAATGCATCCGCGGCCATTTTCTTGTCACTTTCACTTATAGCAAGCAAAAAATCCCAATAAAATTTTCGAGTTAAAGTCACTTTTTAACTAAAATAAAAATCCCCTGTCAGATTCCGTCTGTTTCAAAAGTTACTCACAAGCAGCTACAATGTAACAGCCGTGGCGGCGACGTCTGGCTTCGCTCCGAAGAACGAAGGCACACCGAGCTGCGGAGAAGAGGCTAGGACTCCGGGGGAATTCTCACCTAAATCCCCCCANCTCCTGGGGGGACTAGGGAACTCAACCCCTATCCCAGCCAAACTCACTTTCTCCCCTTCGCCCGGGGAGAAAGTTCCGAGCCGCAAAACAGCTGATCCGCGCTGTTTTGACGGCTTTGACGCAGTCCCGGGCCTGGAGGCTCAGGAAAAAGCCTCCGTCGGCGGCGCCTCGCCACAGGAAGTCATTCTTGGCATGGTCTTGATTCTTATTTATCTGATTATTATATTGGTAGTGGAGCTTCCCTCTATCCTTCAAGTCCATCCTCTTTATCCTCTACTACACAGTGTGAGAAATAATATCCATACTCAGAAAGGAATTAGAAATAAGCAAACCAATTGTAGACATGAGATAAGAAAAAAAGACCACTAGATCTGCTACTAAACATATATTCAATAGTCTTTCAAAAGACTAGTAAAACTATATATTTTTTAAAAAAGCAGGGGATAGAGCAACCAGCCCTGCTGAATAGGAGAAAAGATGTATTGATGATTCTGCTTCACATCAGCACGTTAAAGGTTTTCTGCTGATGGGGTATTTTTTTTATGCAGCAGTGCTTTCTACTGTTTTTATTTGGGAGGAAGTAATTCTGGCAGTGAATTGCCATTTTCATCCAGAATTTATTGATAGGGATATTAGGGAGCTGGGTAAAATTGGTAGTTTCCTCTTTTAGCTCAAGTGACAAAAAGACTGGCATACACATAGTCCTCACTTACCAACCATTTGTTCAGTGACCAGTTGAAGTTAGGGCAGTGCTGAAAAAGTGAAAAAATAACTTTACAGCCCATTTACGACCATTTACAATCTTTGCAGCATCCCTCAATCACATGATCCCCATTACACTCAGTAAGTGTAATGTATTCCTTCCCCTCTGCCCAGAGCAAAGAGATTAGAGAGGGATTTCAAGAGAGTAAGCTCACATCAAAAGCAATGTGATTGGGCTGGCAACAGGAAAGGGTCAGGCAAAGGAGAGATAACATACAGATGGAAGAATGGGAAAATATACGCTGAAAGTAATGAACTTTACACTGTTATCATCTTGAAGAATTTTTTAAAATAAAATGATGTACCATTAGTACACTTCAAATTTATGTTGTAAATGTGAACAACATGAAGGGACATTTTATCATGTTTGGTAGATGTGTAAAAAGGCTAGAAAAGTCTGGATTCAAATACATACACTGACTGAGAGGATTTTAAAGATTAATATACAATGGAGACCAAAGGTTTTTCCTTTGGGGATTGATGCTTTTTGATGATGATGAGACTTCCACAAGGCCAGTAGACCAGTAGAGTGTGTGCATGTGTGCGCGCACATGCAAACAGAAGTCAAAGTTGTGAAATTGAGTAGTGCAGTCTTGTTTTTTTTCCAGCCAAAAAGTACAGTCATGGTCATCATGATTTCCTACTTGGCGGGAAATGTGGATGAACCACGAAGAAGTGGAAAGCTTCAATGTGCTATGTGACCTCCTCAATCTGTAGAGCTCCCTCCAGCATACTCCTTGACACTCCTCCTTCACCCCATTGTTGTGTCAGCTGAGCTATTTTTGGACACAGGTTTGCCAGACTTTCAGAAGACCAATAGACCCATGTTCAGAAATAGCTCAAATGACGTGTGTCTATGCTTTCCCATCACTTGCCTCCAGGGACTGTTTACTGCTATTTCCTCAATTGATATTTACTCTCCTCTGTGTTGCTTTCATTGTATGCTCATTAAAATGACAATCTCTTTCTCTGTGTTATGTGTGATTGCCAATGTTGATGTTATCTGTAGTCATTATGGGATGCAAAGGTTTTAAATACTCTTTCATGTAAAGATTTTCCTTGCATAATGATCAATATAAGGGCAATATATTTTTAGATGATATCATATTTAAGAATGTAAGCTTTTGAATTCACCAGAGCTATTTTCCTGCTAAGCAGAGGAAGACTAGCACAGAGGGCAAATGTTTGCACTAAAAATCTACATTTTATTCAGAAAAATCAAACATCAAATATTGTATGAACCGGTTTAGGCAGAATGTGCAGTCTCTATAGAGATTCTATTATACAATTTTATTTATTACATTTATACACCAAATCTTGCATCACACAATGGCTTACACAAAATAAAAATGTAAAAGCCACAGCACAATTAAACTAGTTACTAGAGAATAAAACTTTTGTGGTTCAAGGCCTGAATATCTAAAGAATTGCATTCTCCCAATAAGATCTGGCAGGGGTGGGCTGTTTGCATGTCATCTTGATTACAGAAACATGCCTATGCAGGAGCCACCACCTCTCCAATGGTATCTGGTATTCAAAGGGTATCTCTCATCCCTCCTGATTTTCAGAAATCTGATGAAGACTTGGATATACCCCATCATGTCTTGAGGGCAGGATTGTTGGAATATAATTCCTCCAGACAATGAATGTTGGTTCTTGCTTTTTACATGGCTATTTACAATGCATGGTTTTAATTTTAAAATTTGTTTAAGCATCTCCTGTATTTATTTTAATTCAAATGGGGGAGTTGTAAGCTGCTTAAGATTGGTCAGTTGGAATGATCTCATCAGCCCTGCAAATCAATAAAGCCAGCCTTCGAATAGTTAAAATAAATACATAATCAGTTCACTATAGTTATCATAGGTATCCACCCCAAACACGGGCAATATTAACTTTTAAAATTTCTGGGATAAAATCTCCATTTTAACAGCTGCGTGGAAAATTGCCAAGGTTAATACCAGTCCAATATCTGGAAGGAATTTATTCTATGGGGCAGAGGTTACCACCCCGGAATAATGGCAGTCTAGAAGACATGTCTCTTTCATGAGTGTAGGGAATCTCAACATCTTGAATCAGAACAAGCTTATTGGACAGTCTATTTAGAGAAGGTCATTCTGCAGGTTTGAAGGGGGAGAATCAAAATGTCAAAGTACACAATATAGGAATGGAAATATATCAAAATTAAGATGGGTATAAACATCTTTTTGCATTCAGAAGGCTATTAATTGAACTTGACATAATTTTTGTCTAAGGCAACAAATATGTGTATACATAATTTAATATAACGTTCAGTGGCTCTCCTGGTGCAGTATAATTGAATTGAATTCCTAGATAATGCATTTGTGGTTGTCAAGTTGTCATATATAATTTTTTTCCACTGTTTTGCCCATGCATTTGATTAAAGGGAGACTGTTTCAAACTGCAAAATTATGCAAAGACAGCCTAAGAGTGTAACACAGCCTTTTTCTGACAAGTATGATGACCGGTGGGTCAAAGACCCATTATAAGAACAGCGCTCAGTCCAAGAATCATATGCTGACAACATTGAAAGCATTTATTACTTTACTGTCCAGGGTGGGAGACAGAAAAAGCATATTTTCCCATGGAGACAATTCAGTCCGAAGAAAGGGGAGATTTGCTTACCCCAGTCAGTCACACGCTGGTGACGGTTTATAAAGAGAATTCAGGAGCAAGCGTTTTTTTAAAAAGCCTTTTTCTTTTCTGCCTCCTTTGGGCACAATTGAATTTATTGGATCTTGGATTTATTGTCATTTATTAGTCTTAACATGGTTAAGACGCGCCAGCAACGGACCGACCACCATTGCCTTTTACCACCCCCACCACCACCCCGAAAACAAAGTTTGCCTTTTTTTTTTTTTTAATACATTGTGCCGTGGCCAAGCGCGTTCAACTTCGAAGCAACGCATGCCGGGAGTTGTAGTTTTGCGGCAAGTGCGTCCGGGGAATTCCTACGGTGCCCTCTAGAACCTCCACTTAAAATACAACAAGAAGAGAACAGGATTAAGGATTTGAAAATTCCCGCGACGGCTGTGATTTGCTCTCGCGAGACCTCGTTCCTCCGCCGTCTGGTCCTCCTCCCTCCTCCTCCTGCTGCCGGTGAGTGATCGGGGGAAGGAAGAGGAGGTTGCTGCGCAGGCAGAGAGCGGACGAGCGCGGGGACGGGCGGCTGAGTAGGCCCGGCCCAGGGAGCCCGCCAGCTTTCTTGAACTGCTGCGGCGGAAGCGGGCAGAGATGCTGCTCTTTTGAGGGTAACGCGAGCGGCGCGGCCGAGGCGGCAACACCCGCCTCCGAAGCAGGTACGGCGGGGGACAAGAGGCGGTTGACCGGAGGCGTGAAAGGCTTGAGCTGCCGGCTTGCGGGGTTTCCCTGCTAGGCCCCATTCGCCGGGAAAAGGGCGGTCGTCGGGCTTGTTATGTAACCCGCCCGTTGGAGACACCCGTGGCGATCCGGGGCTGCCGTCGTTGCGTTGCAGCTTCGGAACCGCCGAGCGGCCGCCCGCCAGACCGAGGGGAGGGGAGGGGCAGGGGGCGGCCCCCCTTCCGGCCCCGCCGCCCGGTCCTCTCCTCGCTGCCGCCAAACGTCCGCAAAGCCGGGAGAGCCGCTGTGGCCCGGTCGGAGCCTGGCGGCAGTTTCAGACCTGGGGGGAAAAACGTGCTTTGCGCTACCAGACGGAGGGGAGCCGAGGAGAGCGCTTGCCTGCCAGGCAGCGTGCTCCTTAGGCCCTGCCCCCCGGGTGCCTCTGATCTACTCTAGCGAAGGCAGACTTGGGATTTTGTTTGCAGGCCCTCGTTCCTGGTCGTGCGTCTCCTTTCTGGGAGGCGTAATCGTTAAAACGAGATGAAACAGCCATATATATATACATATATACGTATATATATACAGCCGTATATATATATATACGTATATACATATATACGTATATATATACAGCCGTATATATATACATATATACATACATATATATATTTAAAAAACAGCAAAGTGATCACCAGGAAGTATAAAACAATATAGTTTTAATAAATAAAACAGAACTTTTGCTGTTTTTTAAAAATATGTTCATACCCAGGAATCGATCTTCTATTTTATAGATCTTCTATTTTATATATATCTTCTATTTTATATATATTTTATATATATTTATATATATATATTGGACTTCCTGCTGGACAGTCTGGTTGGTTTTGTGACCGGGGAGTAGGCAGGCCGGCATTGGGTTAATCGGGGCTTCCCTTTCGACAAGTGTGCGCGTTATTTCCCGCAACTTAATAGACTTTTCTCTTTGTGTAGGGCTCAGTGTCAAATACTTCGTGCTTAATTCTTACTTTACCTAATGGAACAAGGCAGGCGATCGTGAAATATGCTGCATGAACAACTTGGTAGAATTTGAATTGAGAGGCTGGATTGGACGCTTCAAAGCTTTGGGTGCAGATGACAGTTTAAAATGCCCCACACACACACAAACACTCTATTGCAAATTTTGTAAGAGCAAAGCTATCCTAAAAGTAATAAGACTGAACTTTAGAGTTGTTTTGTCCGTTTGAAAATATCCCCTATCCCTGAAGTGTGAAACCTGCTTAGGCCTGCAAATGTGACAGCTAGGTAGGAAGCTCCTGGTTCCTCAGCTTTAAGCTGAGGACAGATATAAACAAGCTGAGCTCTTAATTCATCTATGTTTTAATACAGGGGTAGTCAACCTTGGCTCTTTTATGACTCGTGGACTTCAACTCCCAGAATTCCTGAGCCAGCTGTGCTGGCTCAGGAATTCTGGGAGTTGAAGTCCACGAATCATAAAAGAGCCAATGTTGACTACCCCTGTTTTAATATGTAGACAATGATCAGGACTATAGTTGAATTGATCTGCCTTTCCAGAGTTGAAGTATAATTAATGAACATGACTTATTTTCTATGTATGCTTTAGGAATGACAGGAAAGGAGAAGTATGCTTTAATAAGAGGAAATAGTCACAGAATGTACTGGAGTATCCTGATTTCCAACTGATTTATAAATGTTGGTAAAAATGTACAAAATGTTTGAAATCAAATTGTTGCTATATCAGCAATCTTTGTCTTGAAGTTAAGCTGTATCTAGAGACCGCTACGTGGTTGGCTGTTGTAGGTTAGGAAAGTTGAACAGATGAACAAGACTACTAGTAGGGTCCTGTGAAGAGAAAGAGATTTTTCAAGTGATCTCAGAAGTTTTATGCTAGTTTGGTTAAACAATCACATTGTCTCAACAGTTGTGGCCAAATATACTTTGTGGTAATAAGAGCTGCAAAAAAAAGCTGTATTTTTCTCGTTCTTATTGTCACTCTGGATTGGTATTTGATGACCCTGCTCAAAATGACCTGGGAGGGAAGGGCAAAATAATCATCTGCAGGATAATGTTAAGGATTATCTGAAGTACCTGGCAGATAAAATCACTCAGATCTGGAATTCTGTCTGGGAGAAGACTACCTTATCCAGAACACCAATGGAAAATACCCAGATCCAAGCAGTCCCATAACCCAAAGCTACTTGGTCTTATTAGTGTTGAGCCTAACCCTAAATTTGATCCTTCCAAACCTTGACAGTGTTACCTGGTTGGCTTTCGGTAAAAATATAAAATTGCATGTCAGAAGTATATTGATATCTAATCTTATGACAGCAAGACTATTTTAACCAGCAGCTTCATGTAGCATTAAACAAAACAGGAAAGACCAGAGTCTTGCAGAACCCCACAAAATAGGTCATTAGGACTAGATCTCTCCTTCTCACCAATACCAACTAGAACCAATTCCAGAGGGAGAACCATCAGAAAAATGTGCCTCTGCTCTTAACCATTTGAGCCAGTCCAGAAGAATACTATGATCAGTTGTATTGAACATCACAGAGAACAAGGAGGACCAAATTGGATGCACTACCTCCAATATGATCCCTTCAGAGATCACCCATAAGTGCAATTTGTCCATCTCAATGCTATATACAGGCCTGCAACTCCTGGAAGTAGACTAAGATAATCTGGTTCCACTAGAGCCCTCTTAAGCTGCAGCTTGATCGTCTTCTCTGCAACTTGCCCCTCAGAGTAAAGGTTGGAAACAGATGGAAATTATCCAACACCATTGGGTCCAGAAATAGCTTCAGCTTCTTGAGTGCAGTTCACACCATCACTGAAGAATGGATTTTGGATGAAACCATAAAGAATTTCCTGACAGGACTTAGCCATCTAGGAAGGACCTGGAACTAATACAGGCAACCATGCTCACAACTCAAAAGGCCAATCCATATCCTTGGGACCAACAAGCTCCAGTTCTTTCCACATAACAACAGCTCATTTGTCTCCAGTTCTTTTGGCTGTCTCACAAGAACAGGTTACTTATTTTAGATGTATCTTCTGTTTCTATCCTAATATCCAAAAGGCCCTATTGCTTGCCTTTACAAGGTGCTGATTACCTGATTCTTTCTCCCAGCATTGAGCCAGGTGATTAGTTGAATCCATTTTAAGTATTTATATGGTAATTAAGTACAAGATTTATTGGTTATGGATACATAAGCTGCCTCTGGTGCAATATATTTTAATTACTATTTTTGTTGATGTTTTAGTTGATTGTTAGCCACACAGTGGCATGGGAAGTGAATGAATAATGTTGTAAACTGAAGTATCTTCATTGTCATGAATAAAATTCCTCTGATAAATATTCTAAAATAACTGGATTTTTTATATTGTTAAATGTAGAACCCAACAACCCATTATTATTTTTACATTCTGATAGTTGACTAAATCAAGACACAGCAACTATCACAAAGTATCATTACAAAAATGTTTTGTGGCCTTTGAAGAAACTGTATTGCCTGTAAAGCTTAAGGAAAGAGTTGTACTTATAAAAGTTCACTGAAGGAATCAATGTACAATTTTATTACCTTTTATTATGTATAAAATACGTATTTTACAATTTCTTTTCCACTGTTACATATATTAGCTTTCTGTAAGCACAATATATTGTAGCTTAGAAACTATAATTTCTTAGATATTACAATGTTGAACAAAAGAGGTCTAAAATAATGTGTAGAACATCATGTTAGGATTCTCTTCAGTACTGACCTTGTTATTAACAGCATTTCCCCAAATTAAGCCTTCTTTCCTGGTTTTTGAAGAAATTAATACATTTTTTAAAAAATTAAGCACGTGATTTTTTTTCTTCTACAAATAATCTAGATGTTGCCTATAAAAACCTTTAGAGGAAATAAATCTAGAAGTGATAACTGGGCTATCCAAAATGGTCTGAACAGTTTTTGGCTTTCAGAGAAGCTAGTAACAAAGATCTCCTTAACTTCAGTGGTGGTGAATTAAGGACATAGATCCCATAGCTTAATCCAGTAAAAGCATAGCCAGTTGAGGGCATTCTACCAAGTAAACAGTTAAAGCAAGCTCAAAGGGACTATTCACAGTCACGCTGTGCACTTGTGTCTTTACATGTTTACAGATTTTTCTTGGAGAAACTGGAGTTAGTTATACTTTATTTAAGTACAATTTATAAAGACATAATAGTGTATACTTTAAAATTAGATTTAAAACAGTATTTTTATTACTTTGTAAATGTATATTTTCCTACAAGCCTTTAGATCAGGAGTGTCAAACTGGAGGCCTGTCGGCCTGATGCATCACGCACAAGCCACACCCACTGCAAAGGCAAAAAACCATCACGATACGTCATGATACATCATGTGACAGGATCGAGTTTGACACCCGTGCTTTAGATCCATAATCGAACTATTAACTCTTATAGTTTGACTTACTTAAAATTATTGTTCATGGAATTATATATATTTGCAGGCCTGAGCCATATTCCCAAGTCTCCACTAATTTGCTTTTTGTACAGTGTAATTTCTTAAAACCGATTTAAATTAATTAAACAAAACTGTTCTCATATTGTTGAAGTTGCATTTTAAAATTAAAATAAGGGGCTATATATTTCTTTAGAAACATTTTCTATAGAATTTTCCAGTATAAAGAAAGCAGGTACTACAAATCTAAGTCACTTGTACTATTTCATTTCACTAAGCCAGGATAGTATCCCAAAGTCTGAAGTTTAAGTATATATGCTTTTTCATATTTGAAAAGAACATTGATATTATGTTAATTAATCTGAAACAGATTCAATTCATAATCTTCCCCTCCCTTAGCCAACTAAATCGTAACCCTTCATTGCCATTGGTGTGATAATTCATAGAAAGAGTGGACAACAACTGGGACACTTGTTAGGGTCAAGCATTTGCCTTACCTTGACTTGCAATATGTAGCACTCTTATGCTAGTTGCCTATAAGAGTGCTGCTGATAAATTGTAGAGCTATCTCTCCTGAGCCCATTAGGCAGTGTCAGATATTAATAAAGGAAAATACTTGAAGCTCAGGGTTATCTGACATGAGGATTCCTTGGTGCTCTCTGAGCTTGCTTGTTTTCTTGCAGACGTTTCATTACTCAAACTAAGTAACATAACTGCTGCATTGATGATGTTACATAGTTTGGGTAATGAAAACATCTGCAAGAAAATAAGCAAGCTCAGAAAGCACCAAGGACTCCTCATGTCAGATATTATTTGTAAGCATGTGACTGATTCCAATAAATTTTGTCTAATAGACTCCATTGCCTTATGCATGTTGATATACCGCTGCCCTATCAGTAATATCTGAGCTCTACACACAATGGTTGTACTTACCTTGTCTGCTGAGTGAATCAGATCTAGCTCCTAGACTTAGAGCAGCACCCAGCAATGTTTAGGTGCAGACTGAAGGTATTAGTATGAAGGAAAAGCTGAGAACTTACCTCTAGTAAGCCAAATGTCTTAGATAAAGTGGACATTTGTGTAAGGGGCCCTCTTTGCTTCAGTAATACAGAATACTGCCTGCTGAAGGTAAGAATCAATCATTTCATATCCTTCCCCCTGCTAAGTCAGGCCTCAGGGAGAGACAGTATAACATGGCTGTTCAAAATCAAATCTGAAATAGTCCAACTTTACATTAGTCCTAGAGCTGCAGTATTCCTGCTTCAGTACAGGGTATTCTGCTCGACCTCAGCAGCTCTAAACTGAAATTCAGAAAGGAGCAGCTGTTCTACTTCCTAATCATCATCCTCTGAATTGTTAACATAGGGGGTGAGGTGAGAGAGCAGTCAACACCTCCTCTTGCACTTTGGCAGGGATTTTTTTTTTAAAAAAGGCCCTGAAATTATCCAGACTCTAACCCTCCCACCATTCATCTAGCTGTCATTTGTTTATACCTGTCAGAATTGCTGGAAGTGTTTTTTTATATATAGGAGATAGAATGGGGTGGGGGGGTGGGAGAGGAGACAAACAGAAGGAAAACTGGGCTCTTTTTCTCTTTTAGCCTTACTAGCCACATAGTCTTTAAAATGAAAGAAACTTAAAAGAAAATAATTAAAACTAAAGAGACAAAAGAAAATAATTAAAATCTGAATTTCTTTTAGTGTGCTATACCATAGCCTTGGTCATATATTTTATAGTACAGTATTTTAATTATTTGCTGGCACTAACTGCTTACTTGAATAAACTTCCCACTGCATTTTTACAGTGAAACATGCGAGACCTAACTGCTCACGTAACCAGCTGTCTACTACAGTTTCCAGATGTGACTATACAAGCACTTGGAGAAGATGAGATAACACTAGATTGTGTACTTCATGGGAAATTCACAGGAGGTAACAATTGAGCTCACACTTCTTAATTATTAAGACTACAAAAGGTGTATTGTAATATGCATGATTAAATACTTCTGTGAGGGCAAAAAAAGATGGGGTGGGTAAGGTAAATTGCATGATTCTAAAATTTAATATAGGAAGCATTTTTCTTGAATCAGCACTTCTGTTGTTGGACATACTGCCTTTTATATTTCTTTTAATGCAAAATCTGATTGCAGAACTATAGCAGATTTATCTGTATAGAAGCTGAAATTGATTATCAGTCCAGTGTTAGGCAATCTACATTGGCTTAAATGTAGCTCAGTTCTGAAGTTTAGTTACGGTAGTCAAATGTTAATAGTTTTAAAAATAGCTTTGGATTCTATGCTTTTGGGGCTGCCCTTCCATATGAATTCAAACTGAACTACAGCGATGTGGTTTTGCTCTTTTTGCTTTATGTTGTGAGCTCTAACATATATATTGAAACTGATGTTTGTCTATAATATAGGATCTGACCTTTATTTTGTTTTTAGATGCATTGGAGATGTTAAGTTAAAAATGCATCCTATTACTCAGCACCAGATACAATATAATCCTGGAGCAATTTCTCCATTCTCCAAGCAATAAGTGCTTTGTTTGCTTTGTTCGTCTTTATCTGAGTTCATTCTTTTCTTGGACTTAATCCTGTTACTAATTGAGGGCTGAATCATTGTTCCATTGGAAAATATTTTGCCACTCTTTAGTTCTTCATTGCATTTGCTTAAACATGGATAATAAGAGTTTTCGGGAATTAGCATTTTTGTGTGGAACACCATAATTTTTAGGAAGTGTTCTCATTTGTAAATAATTTTAAAAAGTCAGGCACAAGCATGCTGCTGAGGATTTCGGCATATAAATTATCCTGAGCTTGTCAATTAAATTTATTGGACTACTTAGTCTAGGGTTTCAAATGATATGTAACTAAGATATGGAATTAATAAATCCTAGTGCATGATGCAAGACTCCCCCCTCCCCCCAGTGTTTCTCCAATTGTTCTATCCTCTCTATGAGTATTATTTCTTCACAGATAAGATTTCCTCTTATATATATTTCTTCTCTTCTAGGTCGAAGTGGATTAGCTTGCCTTGCATGTGGACCACAACTTGAGATTGTAAGCCCTGTCACAGGAGAACGACTGTCAGCGTATCGTTTTAATGGGGTGAATGAACAGCTACCCACTATTCTTGCAGTGAAAGAGTTTTCCTGGCAGAAAAGAAATGGACTATTAATTGGTTTGGAAGAAACAGAAGGAAGCGTTCTGTGTTTGTATGATCTTGGAATATCCAGAGTGGTTAAAGCAGTTGTTCTTCCTGGAAGGGTATGTACATGATTTCTTAATTTAAAAAATAAGTTCTTTGTCCTGATGCATGGTCCAGCTGTTCTTTCTGCTTTAATGCTTTCTCTTTACAGCAATTTGTATTCTCTTAAGTATTAATCGTGATCTTTAAAAATTACAACCACATATTTTTATATTCCAGATTTGTAGTCATGTAAATTAATCAATGTTGAGTTCTGTAGTATAAGATGTTCTCATTTATTAGAGTTGATGAATTTTGCCATAAATGTAGCAATTCTGGAAGAGAATACTAAGGAGGCTGAGCTACTAGTAAATGAAGAAATATACTGTTGATGAACAGTAAATGATTTTTATGTAATATAAAAGAAGAAACAAAAATTCACATATTTGTCTTCTCATCTGTGAAAGAATGTTTTTATCATTTTGCCACAGCTAAATTTATAGTTTAGTCATAGTAAAATAATATATGTAGTTAAAGTTACCCTTTAGTTTTTCTTTCTACTTTACATTTATTTCAGATGTATTGCCAAATACATCTGAATTTGCACAGATTATAATAAGCAATCATGCTTGTAATTTTTTTAATTCTTTCCTACCTTGGGCAGCTTCTGTAGCATGAGTTTGGATGGGGGATCTGCTGATGAATAGAATTGGCCCAAATTGGAAGTAGAAATAGTCCTTTCTTTAGAAATATCTGTGCTGTTTTTTAAGAGCAACCTGACTTTTAAGAGAAACATTTTAAGAATTCAGTGAGAACTGTGCGGATGGTTCTCTTGTCAAGCTTTTGGTGTAGATGCAGCCAATATGCTGCTACTTTATTTTGTTTGTTTGTTTTAAGTAATCTTATTTGTATGCCAATAATCAGAAAACATTCTTCTGATTTTCCCCCCCAGTTTTTACTATTTCTTTAGTATTTTCTGCCCACTTTACTTAGATACAAATTTAAAATAAATATTGAATTTGACTAGAATTGTCTTCAAGTGTTATATTTAGTTAAAATCAGAAATAAAGTGTGATGATTTAGTAGATCGTCTACACTTCAGTTTCTAAAATGAGGGGCAGCAAAAGAATGAGGGATCACTCATTTCTGATTTAGATAAGAAAATAAATTCTAATATTATGTAATATTAGAAAGCAGTGTATACAAGAGGTATCCTGACTAAAAATGTTTTTTTGAGAAAGCAAACCCAATCCTTAAAGGGAAGTCAGCATTCCAGTACTTAAAAAAATAATTTTCAAAAGAGATTAATCCAGTTGTTCAAATTCAAACAGGGTTTGGATGGCATTATATGAAGAGTTTTTTTCAACGGACATTTGTGTTCTTTTTATGAGGCTTAGTGATTTTTTTGGCAATGCATCGAATCTCATTAATTCAAAAATTAAGTTTGGGTGTTCTGAGCAAGTTTCTTTGCCGCTTGTCATCCTGGAAAAAGTATATTGCATGATTCATAACATTCCAAGGATAAATTAATGGTTTTCTTATGAGCGCTTACAGAAATAAATGATAGATGAAAGGCTTCTATGTAACTATTTTGGAACAATAATTAACCAGTGAATGCCAAATATATGAAAAATTAATGAAAATTTTCTGATGTTTTAGTGGCCACATGACAAAATTGCACTCTTTCCATTTAAAGAGGAATTGATCGTATCAGTATTATGTACTTAACCAGCAAAAATAGCTTTTCTGAATTATATATTAAACTAAATGTGGTAGAAGTTATTTGGATATTTTGACTGGATTTCAATAATTCAGAAATGACAATTATAAATCCCAATGTGACATTGATTGTTCATGTGTTTATCCTATAGGTTGCTTAACTAATATGCTTTTTTAGGTCACTGCCATTGAACCAATTATAAACCATGGAGGAGCCAGCTTGACAACTCAGCACTTGCATCAGTGTCTCAGATGGCTGTTTGGTGTGGCTGTGGTGGTTACTGACGTTGGTCATGTCCTCTTGATAGATCTTTGCTTGGATGACTTATCATGTAACCAGAATGAAATAGAAGCTTCTGGTAAATGATATTCGTTTTTATCTGTTATACTGATTTCTAGTTAATAAAGAGGAGTTAGGTTTTCTAGATTATATGGGAATATAATTTACAAAACTAAAATCAGAATACTAATTTAAATTCTCATCACTGATATTTGGGAAGATGACTGCCATTGGTCTATATTAACCTATAATATGTATACTTGATTAAGATAGAGAAATACAAGTTGACAGCAGCAGGAGAAGATAGAGCAATATTTTTTCTGCAGTAATTTTCTGAGCTAGAAATACTGTGCTTTCAGATTTATCTGCAATAGAGTAGCAATGTAGATTATTGATGTGATGTACATCTAACCTGCGTATGGTATTAAATCATATAAAAATGTGTTAGGAACACATACTAAGATCTAGAAACTTTCGGCTTACTAACTTGCTGTTATTTATTACTACTTCTGAATATCATGCCTCACCACCCTACATTTGGGTGAAGCGATTGAATCCATATATGGATTTATTAAATAGAAAACTATGCTAATGTAGACCAAAATCTGAACTGCTCTTGTTCTTTATCGCATCCTCAAAATAATGTCCAAAAGACAAAATACCCTTATTTGTTTTATTATGAACCTCCAGATTGTGATATGTATTTGTATAATACTTAAAATAAGATACTATATGTTGATTCCTATAGTCATCTTTTCAGGACCTTCCATGTTCAAATTTTAAAATGAACTAAAAATGAAAGCAATGATTAATTTGGCTTTATAATAAAATAAGGGTATATTTTGAATGAAATAAGCAGACATTTATTGATCTGTTCATTTTTAGCTGTTTGGCATTGGAAGCATTAAATTGTACTCAAGAAATAGACTAATGTGTACATGGCATTGATAGGGGAAAAGAACAATGAAACAACCTATTGGAAAGCCCTAGTTAGCCTCAACGAATTACTGAAAAATTGCATGCAGAAAAGAAACATAACAGTGAAATTATCATTTCAAAGCTTTTATTTAGGTTAAATGTTGGATTGCTGCAGGTATTTGCTCTGATTATCTATAAGGTTAACAAAATCACATGGGTGCATTTCCTCTTCATTTTATAGATAAAGGAATGAACTAATGAATGCACACAGTTCAAATGAATAGAGATAAGAATAATTGTGGGGTCCTTGGTGCTCTCTAAGCTTGATTGTTTGATTGCAGACATTTTATTACCGGACTAGATAACATTGTGATGATGATACCCTGGACAGATAATGAAACATCTGCAAGCAAACAGCCAAGCTCAGAGAGCACCAGGGACTTCACAGTTTAACCATGAGCTACATTCTCTTCTATTGATACAAAATATTTAAAATGAAAAGAGATTAACAAAACCAATCTGTGTCATTAGACAATCTTACTTAATTGTGTGCATAAGCTACTTTATTCTGTGAGCAATTTTTTTTAGGTAAGCAGTTTTTAAATAAGGCAATATGAACTTGTTATATACTGCCATACATACAGATCTAGAAGTTGTCACTGGAATCCCTTCTGAAATCCCACAAGTAAGGGAAGCTGTAATAAGGAATGGCCGACATCTCTGTTTCCAGTTACTGAACCCATCAGGAACTGCTGTGACAACTCTCTCATACATACAAAGAAGCAACCAGTTAGTTGTGGGATTTTCTGATGGCTATCTTTCACTGTGGAATATGAAAAGCTTAAAGAAAGAGTAAGTATATGAAAAGTGGTATGTCATTTAATGAAATAAATTGAAAAGGAAGCATGCTAATATTCTGATCATTGAAATCTGTATATATTTTTGAGATGCATATTCTGGATATTTTGTCCTCTTACTAAAAGGACCAATGTACAGCTCTCTAGCTGTTGGATTGCATTTCCACTGATTCTCACTATTGGTCCTGTCAGTTAGAACTAGTGTGAGTTAATATATTACATCAGAGGTCCCCAACCTTTTGGGTACCAGGGACTGGTTCCGTGGAGAGAGGCTTTTCCGTGGACCGGAGGGGGTGTGGTTTCATGTACTGTCTGCATCTCGCGGATGGGCCTTTGCTTGTTTATGTGGACCGGTTTCTGGCATGCCGCGGCCCAGTGCCGGTCCATGGACCGGGGGTTGGGGACCCCTGTATTACATAACACGTGTGCAGCAATTTGGAAGAGATGTGAAAAGTGATGTTAACTTCTCACCAATGTAGGTCCATTTATGAGATTCACTTTCTAGAGAAAGGATGGGATGAAGCAATTGCTATTGATTCTTCAATCCTCTAGCATTGAAGTTTCGTCCTGGAGAATTAAAAATACAGAACATGGTGCTTGATACTGTAGATAAAGGGAAAAATTTGCAAAAACCATATTTCGTTGTGAAGTTCCAGCCTTTTCACAACAGAAGATTAATTCCAATATATTCAGTGAATCAAATAGCTTCGGTTGCTAGCTTATAGTTTAGGAAAAAATAAAGATACTCAAATGAAAAATGCATCCAACGTATGCCATTTTATTATGCATATGTTATAATTAGGATTAATGATATGGCTATCTACTTAATACTTTCGTTTCTGTAAGTTTTGAAACAGTTCCATATAATCCATCCTTTAATTCAGATAGCATAATCTTATTAGTCTATATTATAGAATGCTGCAATGTAGATTATATGTTACCCAAAATATATTTCCCCTAATTTCCATGTTGATTGTATAACTGAATTAAAGTATGATTACTGAATTTCCATCCATTATAAAACAATAAATATTTAGGAAATATGCCAAAATAATACAGTGTCCTGTAAATTAGAGAATTATTTTTAAATGTTTATCCATTTCCCATGTCTTCCATCCTACCCCTAATATTCAGATACCATTTCCAGTTAGAGGGAGGGAGAGTTCCTGTATATGCTGTTACTTTTCAAGAACCTGAAAATGATCCTCGCAATTGTTGCTACTTGTGGGCTGTCCAATCAACACAAGAAAGGTGGGTGAAGCAGTTTGGCCACTCTGATGATTGTAGATTCTAAAAATGTGTTCAAATCATGATTTAACTTATATTGCTACTCTCCAACAAGTAATTGATTCATTGGAGAGAGATGTTTTACCAGACTCTAGGCATGCAGCTTTATCTGTTTCAAAACTAAAAATCTGAAATGTAAATCTAAAATTAGGATCTTGGCAATTATCTACTCCTAAAAAGTCTTCATTTTTGCTACTTAGGTATTGAAATAGTTATATGTGTACTTATGGAAAATTAGGGACAGAATAAAAAGGGGATGATTTCAGGAATTCCTATCCCTTGTGCTTCTCCCTTCCTGTGTTGGGAAGCAGTATGAAGAGTTGAAGGAACGAAAAAGGCTAGTTCTACACTGATCCTATTGATAGATACTTTTAGAGTGGAGAAACTTCATATTGAGAATTTGTTCATTTCATCTAGGAAAAGGGGATTTGTTCTGAATTAAACATGTGTCTCTTAAAACGTTTCTTGGTTTGAAGTGCCCAGTAGAAATGACATTGGTGAATTTTAGTATGCATTGTTCTTGTGTTCTGTAGAAACGTGAAGGTGCCTGCAGTTTTTGTTAATATGTGGAATATAATTTCATGATAATTTCAATGGCATGGATCCTGGTGATTAAGCAAGTGAGATCATGCAGATCAGTCATTAAAACGAATAGGGGTAATTTGATTTTTGTGCAATTGATCGAGCTTCTACATCTGAAATAGGAATGACAACCTAGTGATAGCAATAGCACTTAGACTTATATACTGCTTCACAGTGCTTTACAGCCCTCTCTAAGTGATTTACAGAGTCAGCATATTGCCCCTAACAATCTATGTCCTCATTTTACCGACCTCAGAAGGATGGAAGGCTGAGTCAACTTTGAACTGGTCAGGATCAAACTGCTGGCAGTCAGTAGTCAATAGAATTAGCCTGCAGTACTGCATTCTAACCACTGCGCCACCATCAGTGATATCTGTTAGATGAGGGATAGGAAGTATTTTGAACTGTTGGCATAGTAGTATGGTTGTCATGCACAGGGCTAAAATTTTGATTTATTTTGCCAGGATGTTTTTTTCCCCAGTTGAGTTAGAGCTTTCTTTATCTTTCAACTGTATAAAAGACTGCTTTAAGATTATAGTAATGTTTTCATTGGCTTCACACCTCAAACAGTTGTAAAATAAGGCCTTCCATGTAAACCCTAGAGCCATAACAAAAGTTTGCTAAGGTCACAAGTTATCCTCTCTGTGATTTACTATACAGCTGTGCTTAATTTACTATCTGCCTTATATTATATAGCAAATAATTGAGATGCCTGTATTCTTTATTATAGTATTGATATTTCATTTTAGTGAAGGAGATATTCTTAGTTTACATCTGCTGCAGTTAGCTTTCAGTGACAGAAGGCGGTTAGCATCAGGACAAATCATATATGAGGTAAAGTATTATGTTTAAATTTTAAGTACTGAAGTGAAGTGTATTAGAACCTACTATAGCATTAATCTCACCACTACAAACTGCTGCTAGTTTGCTTGCATTTATTTAATTTATATTTTAAGATAATTTGGCGTCTTTCTGTAGGAGAAGTATATGCTGAACCTGTGTTTAATACTGTGGCTATTGAGATAATTCTACACATTTTAGACAGTATTAAGACATTTTTAATTTCGCGTGCACATATGTTTGCATTCAGAAGTTTCTTCTCAATTGTTAACATGTTGAGTTTTGTACTTGTATTGTCAAGTACATATTGAGTTTTTGTACTTGTTCATTATTAAAAATGAAAAAAAAGAGTTTAATAAAAGGATATAATTTAATTATTTCCTGCCACAGATTTAAAATTATTGACTTTATCAGAAGGTAAATAACGTAGTATTTGAGTGTAAATGGGATTCAGAGACAGAGGCATCAATTCCCCCCCCCCAAAAAAAAGATTGATTGCCATGGTTGTGTGATAGAAGCCATGCCCATACGTGCAACAAATAAAAGGGGGTGTCATTTCAGTTGTGCAGTTCAGCCATCATCTTCATATTTTTTGTATATCCAGCAGACATCCAGATTACATCAAGGTGTTCCATAGTCTTTATGAGATGCAGGGAAAGCAACTTGGTGCAACATTTGTAATTGCCCAATCTCTGATAGATTCTGTCAACCTTGCACAGCATTTTTCTGGGGATCATTAGCATAATAACTTGAAAGTGGGACTGAAAATGAGCAGCTCTCAGACCTGAGGTCCATATGAGAAGGAAATAGAAACATTTCCAGTAGTTTGTTTATAAGAACTAAAAAAATGAAATTATCTTTAATATTGGGTAGCTGTGATCAGATCATTCTGTATATAAATTTCAAAGCATTTATTTTAGTCTCTGGTGCTTAATGCAAAATCACTTGAACTTCGTTTTGAGTTATATTTTTAAGCAGATATTTTAATGGTTTATCAGTAATAATTTAAATATCTTTAAACTTTTTTAGAAAGAACAAGCCTCAAACATTCTGAGAGGCTTAGAAAAAATGTCACATATAAACTTCCTTCCAGGGTTAATTTTCCATTGGTTTCCATACTTATTTTTTTCATAAATTCAATGTCCTGCCTTTCCCTTTCAAAAGTTGTTTAATTTAAACAGAAGAACAGACCTGATTTTGAATTATATTCATATACTTAATCAATAGCTCATGTATAAATTGCCTAACATTGAACTAGATTCATCATAGGTACTGAAATGTCACAGCCACCTTTTTGCTTACCAACTGGATTGATATATGAATTGCCTACTGCAGGGGTATCAAACAGCCGGCCCACAGGCCAGACACGCCACGAGGAAACAGCGCCCACCCCATTGCCAGCAATGGGGAAAAAGTTCCGATATGTCGCGCCACGTCCCATGACATTGCGAGTTTGACATGTCTGGCCTACTGGATTGCACATTTTTCAGCTTGGTTATTTACTTTTACAATAAACAGAGAGGTCATTTGTGCAGTAATTATGTTTTAAAGCATTTTAAATTATTAGAAAACAAAAATGAATTGCTCTTATTTTTTAAAAAAATATCTATGCTACTAAACAATAAAATGGTTTCTGATTAAAAAAAAAAACCAACAGAATTTCCTCATTTAAAATAACTTTGGTAGTTAATATCAAGAGGTATATTGGCCTGTGACCTACTGGGAATATATGACCTGCCATTTCATTGTTCTAATTTTGTGGAAAGTAATTTAGAATAAAAGTTTTGCATCCTGGGAGAAGACACACATATATCCTCAAAGTAGTTCTAACAGATTTTTACATTTTTATTTAAAGAAGCATTGCCACTTCTCTATTACTGAACATTCATGATCGTTAGGCGGGGTTCAGTATGCTTCCTGCTCTTAGTGGACACAGTTGTTCTTTATCTTTCACTTCATTCTTAAAAATTGTCAATACCATTGATTAATGGTGTCTTAAAACTGTCAACGCCATTGATGACAGATAATACTTTAAGACCAAAAGAATTTTATCATAATTGAAAAGTGTTTTCCAAGTACCCAAGATGTTAAGCATTTGTTATTGAGAATTGAAGTTCTCACATTCTTGATCAGATACACTGACTTGATGTAATATTTTTCCAGGGTTTGGAATACTGTGAAGAAAGATACAGTCTGGACCTTACAGGGGGAGTTTCCTCTTTGAGAGGACAGCCTAGCAATATCAAATTAATTGGTTGTCAAACTATAGAAAAATTTCGAAGCCATGTTGACAGAGAAGATAGTATTAATGAAGGTTAGTATTGTACACATCACAGCTAATAATGAGAACTTGTTATGTCAGACTTATGCCTGAACGATACAATTTGTTTCTGTATAAATGTTGATTAATTTTTATGTCCTGTTTAATTCTTAGTAATAATTTGTGGTATATATTTCAGTTACAGCCTAGATACATTTTGCGAAGTCCTATAAATCTATACTAGAATTAGTATTTAACAAAAATCACTGAAATGTATGTGTGCATTCACATAGACATACAAATTTATATCTAATATAAGTGAATAGAATAGAATAACAGAGTTGTAAGGGACTTTGGAGGTTTTCCAGTCCAACCCCCTGCTTAGGCAGGAAACCCTATACCATTTCAGACAAATGGTTGTCCAATCTCTTAAAAACTTCCAGTGTTGGAGCATTCACAACTTCTGGAGGCAAGTTGTTCCCTTCTAATTGCCCTTCTACTTGCGCAGTGGAGCTTCCTAGTGTTCTTCCTGTATGGCATTGTGTTCCAATGTTAAACCCCCAGAGCTGGTGTGGAGAATGGGCAGAGGAACAGAATTAGGGTTTTTATTGCATTATCAAGCAGAATGACATATTTAGATCTGAGCAAGGACAATTAAAGGAGCTATTTCTGGCTTTAGCAGTTAGAGAATAGAATGATAGATATAGCTGCACTTTCAGCAGATCAATAAGTCACATAAATCTATATTTTCCAAGAATACTTAGTAGAGTTTCTGTTACACATTTTAGCCACAGGAACATCAGAGCAATGGGCTTGAGAATTGCATTAGTGCCTTGGGGATGTGCTTTCCACCAGTGCTAGATATGGTGGGTGGTACAATATTTTTGCTTTCACTCTGTGTGTCATCACATTCACCCATGTCCTTTTGTGCACTAGTCTGGAAATAGTATAGATTAGATTATTATTAGATTAGACCAGGGGTAGGCAACCTTGGCTCTTTTATGACTCATGGACTTCAACTCCCAGAATTCCTGAGCCAGCACAGCTGACATGTGGAAGTCCACGAGTCATAAAAGAGCCAAGGTTGCCTACCCCTGGATTAGACTATATTATTACTATTAGCTCGCCAGGTCTTTCCAACCATAAAGAGATTGGGGAGACATAATCTGAGGTGTAAAATGGTTCTTCAAGGATAGAAGATGTGTCCCGACTATAGCCTTGCATTGTGTACAGTATGTGAGTCAAAATCTTGTTGCCCATGGTAATCATTGAATAATCAAAAAGCTTCAGATGGTCACAGCTGTATACATTTCAAAAGTGACATTTAGAGCATTTTTTTTTGTTTTACACAGTGATGTAATAGCATTTTATCATTCAGTTTTGATGGTGGTTTGCTTTTAAGCATTAATCTTTAAGTTTACTTTATAAGGATAGACTAATATTTGCCAAAGATTAAATAAATTACAGTCTGTATAACCAGCTGCTTTTCATATGAAATAGTAACTGGAAATTGACATGAGGTTTTTCTTTGCTGCAAATACCAAAGGCATCTTTTTTAAAAAAGAAAAAAATGAAAGTATCACTTTTTGCCACCTTAAATGAAATAACATCTTTGAAAAAAATAAATATTTTTGGTTATGTAGATTTTGGTGAATGATTATAAAATTGAGTTTAATCCGAGAGTAGTAGGTACAGAATTAACTATAATATTTCATAAATATGGAGTATTTCTCAGGCATAATTCCTTCCACCAGGAAACAATTCTTCCATTAGCTTGTAGTTAGAGCTACAGAAGCACTTGGCTGAATTGGTTTAAATAGTGGATAGTTGGTTAATTGGGTTAAACAGTGAAATAGAAATAGATCACTGGCCTTATTCTTTTTGTGAACCAATTATTGTATTGTATGAAGAGATTAAATGGGTAGTACTCACCATAGCTGACAGCTAGCTGAACTACAATGTTAGGTCATTGGTAATTTTCTCTAACACCAATATCTAATCTGTATTTGATTGTTTTAAAGTATATAGTTTAGTTTAGTTTAGTTTAGGATTTTTTTTTTAGCTTTAGCAAAGAAAGATAACTGAGAGCAAATATCAGATGCGCTTATATTCATGCACTCTTAGTTTGGATTGAACTAAGTAGCTTAATAAATTAGGACTGCAAGACATTCAGAGATTGTACATAGCCAAGTATTTTATTATGTTGCATGGGTACCTCTTGAGATGTAAAAGAATGTAAATCTATTCCATAGAATTGTATTGATATAATTTGTACCTGCCTTTTACAGTAATTCCATCGCCTTTTCTTTTTGACCCAGTCATGTCACCTGATACAAGTGTATCTGTCTTTACCTGGCAAGTGAATACCTATGGTCAAGGCAAGCCATCTACCTACTTAGGTATTTTTGATATAAATCGCTGGTATCATGCTCAGATGCCAGATTCATTAAGGTAAGTGATAGTTTCTTCTTACCATAAAATTTCAGAAAGAATAGGTGTTAATACTGTCAGATTTACTTCTTCTTTGTCTGTTTTCTTAAGGCCAGGGGAATTTTTACACAATTGTCCATATTTTGCATTATGGTCTTTGGATGCTATGGGGAGCATCACGTCTCCAAATCATATTTTGGATGTCTTGGTACATGAACGAAGCTTTACTCGGGGAGTGCCTCCTTCAAATCCTCCCCCTGAACAGTTTTTTAACCCAAGCACGTACAGTTTTGGTAAGTGTATTATCAACTGCTTTTATGGGAGCATTCTGAAGTTATTGCACCCACAATATACTTTTGAAATATTGTTGTGATGATGGCCTTTCCAGGTCCGAAAAAGTGGGATAAAAATCTAATAAGAATAATGCACGTTCTGCTGCAATAGATCAAGTAGTGCCATTAATTTGTATGTCAGCTGCAGGAAAACTACTGTGTAAAGCTCAGATTTATTCTTAATACAGATAGTCCTCAACTTACAATCATTTGTTTAGTGACAGCTTGAAGTTACAACAGCCTGAAAAAAGTGATATATGACCATTTGTCACGTGACTGTTGTAGCAATTCTGTGGTCACATTATCAGAATTTGGAGTCTTGACACTTGGCATGTATTTAGACAGTGGCAATGTCCCGGAGTCATGTGACCACCTTTTGTGACCTTCTGACAAGCAAAGCCAATGGGGAAGCCAGATTCACTTAACAACCAGGTTACTAACTTAAAAACTGCAATGATTCATTTGACAATTGTAGCAAGAAAGATCATAAAATGGGGCAAAACTCACTTCACTGACTTGCTTAGCAACTGAAATTTTGGGCTCAATTGTGGTTGTAAGTCAAGGACTACCTGTACATGAAATGTACATTGCTGCATTTTGATATAAAATATTAACATCCTAGTGTCTCCTTTGGTTAGTGCTAGTGATAAAAAATATGATTCTTTCCTACGATGCTTACTTAACGTTAAATGTCAACTATATTACTTGTTATGCTCTGTCTCAGGGAGTACCATTTAATTTTAGAATTAAATGTTGGGATTTGGGCAAACATTAGTATTGGAAAAGCTACTCTCTTCTTTTTTCTTTAAGCCGGTGCCCTTTCTTGTACTTTATTTTGTTGTGTGCATAACCGTTGTTTTTGCAAACTTTCCTCCTGCTTCTATTGTACAGGGGCCAGAAGTTGATTTAATGTACTAGATCAATACTGTCAAAGTAGTAGCATACTGGAGAGCCGTCATTATCCCTAGCTTGATTTTAAAATTATCAAACATATTTCAAGAGTCAGACTGATTCATTGAATTAAATTATAGTCCATTGATTTGGACAGAGACCTGGATATAGACTGAGGGAATTTAACTCTTCATCTTATACAATTATCGTCTCTGCATCAGTGCCCCAATGTATGCTAGCAATGTTGAAATAAAATTGCTGGAAAGCTTTGCTTTCATTATAATATCAGTATTTTGCCTCTCATTATTCTAACGAAAAACTCTATTCCACAGATGCCACTTGTTTACTGAATTGTGGAATAGTTCATATGTCTTGCACAGGATTTCAAAAAGATGTAAGTATTATTTCTTTACTGCTATATTATGGCATTCTATTTATTATCTTCTTTTTCAATTCATAAACATGTGAATCGGCTTTACTTTGGAAACTTCATTTCTGCCTAAAAAAAAAAAAATCTAGTGGTTTAATAGTTAGTCGTTGATTTTGGTTCTAACTCTGCAGAACCAGTTTGGTCTAGTAGTTAAGGCATCAGGCCAGAAACTAGGCAACTGAATTCTAGTTTTACCATAAGGCATGGAAGCCAGCTAGATCATTCTCTCAGGTGAAAACGGGTATATCAGTTCCTGTCTCAACCAGTTGGATCAACACTTGGTTGATATGGGAAAATAGAACCCTGGAGCTGGCAGTGCAAAAGTTATGATTTCTATATGCCTGCTTACACCTTTCACTATAGTTGCTGAGACCAGAACCTACCACTCCCTTTAAAAATGTTTACTTTCCCACTTTTAAACATTTTACATATTTTCTAAACGGGTACAGGTAATCCTTGAATTACGACCACAGTGGAGCCTGCCCATCATGATTGCAAATCATGACAGTTGTGAAATGGGTCAGTCACTTGACTGATCTAGTCTTACAGTTTTTCTTGCAATAGTCATTAATTGAAGCATCCCAGTTGTTAACTAATGGCTCATTATGGGCACAGTTTTACCAAAAATTGGAAGCAAATGCCAGTTTTTAACAAAACGGTTGTAAAAACATCCTGGGACCGTGGGATGCTGCAAGTGACCAGATATGTGGCCTGGTTGCTGAGCACCCAAAGTGTGGCCATTTGACTGTGGGGAGGGGCAACTGTCAGAACTTCAAATCAGATCATAAATACTCTACCCCGGTAGGTTTGTCAGAACTTTTGAACAGTCACTAAGTGACAGGTCATAAGTCATGGACTACCTGTATTTGGAATCATTTAAAAAGTAGTTCTTAAACATTTATGACTTTTTGTACCATGGTACGCAGTTTTTCAGAGGCACTTGAGCAGCACAAAGCCTGTCCAAGTTACTGGGTCTTGATTTCTACTGTCCTGCCTATACCAATCACAGTTACATTTATTTCTTTATAGCTTCTTTGCCTGGTATAGAGAATATGAAAGGCAGACAATAATTTATATGCCTTTATTTTGACAAGAATTGTTTAATTTATGTAGTGATTTTTCAGTGTTCTACAGACAGTTTGTCCTAATGCAAAATTATTTGATTAATTGCAGACATTGCATTTCTTAAAAAATTCTGGCTGTTCATTAAATGAAACTATTCCTGAGGGTTATAATAGATGCCTTATTGCTGGTTTACTGTCTCCAAGATTTATTGATATACAGCCAACAAATCTGAGCCAGGTGAGTTTATGATGAAGATATGATTGAAAATGCAGTTGTTCTGTTACTTGATTCTTAAATTTTAGTAAATCGAGTAAATCGGTGATTGGCATGGCTATCTTTGCGAAAGAGGGAATAAATTGACTATAAAAGTTGGCAAACCCCAGAAAACTTTGAACCCATAATTACTGACTCCTGACTGAGCAGACCCAGTGTGTCCATATCCCTAGCTGGATCCAGCATGTCAGATGCTATGCAGCTACAGCCGGATTACATTTTTAATGCTGAAATTGTGAATCACTGATGCCGTGAAATGCAGAGATAAGTGCATTTTCTTTTTGAATTTTTTTTTTTAGGCAGAGCAGTTTGAAGCTGTGTTATCAACTGCTATCCAGACAAGTTCTTTGGGGCTCCTCACTAGCTGCATCAAACAGTGGACTGCTGAAGGTAAACGTAAGTTTGTTGTTCAATAAAATTATTTTGTTAAATAACTTCTATAATTTATGCTTTTTGTTTTTTGAAGAGCAACCAGATTCTGCACCCAACTTGCGTTTTATTCTCGAATGGGCGTGGAGTAAAGTTGTTAAAACAAAAGAAGACTTCATTCGTCTCTGTAAGTAACATAATGTGTTTTGAAACAGTGGACTATCAAGTTATTATTTACAGAAATTATTCGGTAATTAGGCTTAATTGTTTGATTAATTATATTGAATAAAAACATGTTGAATTCTGAGCCTTAGCTAAAGTTGTCAAAACTCTATTTTTTTAAGGTGGTCCCTTATTTGATGGGTCATCTAACTTCATTGGTCCACAGACTGTACAGTCTCTCCAGCGCTGTGAGTTGCTTCTTAGCAACCTTAACACGGTGTTAAACTATTTTATCATGGAAGCTCAAGAACTAACTGAAAAAGGTATGTAAATGTCATAAAGTTTAAGGTGCCCATTTTATATTACCTTTTAACAAATAGGAATCTTACATTCTCCTTCATGTATTTGTATGTCCACTGTTGTATGGTCATTTTCTCCTTTGAATTAGAAAATAAAGATGATTTGATCTCCAGATCCGATACAGAAAAGTTTAAAAGAAAGCTTGATTTGTTATCTTATTCTTGGTATAGAGGAAATTTTATATCCTGTGCAGATTATTTGTGGCTATATTTGGATTAAAGCTAGAATGCCTATATAATCATGAATGAACTAAATGATTCCTCTGTCTTTAAGATGACAAATTATTACCCATACCTTCTCAAGGTTAGATGAAGTTTTTTTTAAAAAGCAAGTCTGTTCATTTTTTTTAGGCATTACAGATCTAACAAACAAACAGATTGTAACCAGTCTCCTTTCACAATATTTACAAGTGGTCATCTGGTTCTGTCGATCTAATCTCCTTCCAGAAAATTTAGGTAGGTCTCCTTCAGCTGTCTTATTTCAGTAATAGGATATTTCCTATTTTATTACTAGTATATATCTATTTCTTATGGAAAAATTAACATCATTTTGAAAAAGTTAATTTCTTGAAATTCTAGATTTCAGATATGCACATTAAGAACTCATAGAAGAATGTGCTTCAAAAAGAACTGCTGAAACTGTACTCTTTTTTTCTAAAGGCATGCTTGTAACCAATTTTCCAGAAGCAAGAATGAGAAACAGAAACTTTTATTTTCTATTTGTAAGACTTTCTCTCTCTCTCTCTCTCTCTCTCTCTCTCTCTCTCTCTCTCTCTCTCTCTTTTTCTTCCTTCCTTCCTTCCTTCTTTTCTTTCTTTCTTTCTTTCTCTCTCTCTCTCTCTCTCTCTCTTTCTTTCTTTCTTTCTTTTTCTTCCTTCCTTCCTTCCTTCCTTCCTTCCTTTTCCTTCCTTCCTTCTTTTCTTTCTTTCTTTCTCTCTCTCTCTCTTTCTTTCTTCCTTCCTTTTCCTTCCTTCTTTTCTTTCTTTCTTTCTTTCTTCTTTCTTTCTTTCTTTCTTTCTTTCTTCATGGAACTACAAATTTTCTAGTTTTCTTAGCAAATAACTTGTTCTCTTTCTCTGGACATATATGAAGAAGGCAGTGTTCAATTAGTCTTTCATTCAGTTGTGGAAAGTTGAAAACACCTTGATGGATCTTTATTTTCTTGATAGTGACTAAAACTAATCGCTGCAAATTGAAATGATCCTTGAATTTGAACCTGTTCTTGTAAAAAAAAAAAAATCTGCTTTCACATATTAACAGGATTAACCAGGAGTACTGGGTCATTATTTTGCACCTGATATTTTAAAATGAGTTTTCATTTTTTTTATGCAGAGGAAGACATGCATTTGTCAAAATCTTTCTATAATTACCAACATATTCAACGATTTTATATCAATTGTCATCAAAAATTGGAACGCTTATCAAGGTAAGAGTTTTTTAAAGTGTGTTAAGTCTCAATGAAAGGATTTTAACAACTGTGAGCAGCTTGCAAGTGGCAAGGGGAAGGACACCAAGGTTTATGTAAAAAGTTATTCAGTGCATGTTTATAAAACTCAAAAATGGATAGGGAGAAAATGTCACTAGTCATTTTCTTGCTGGCATTTGGGATGCCTGTTTATTTCCTTTTTTGTGGCACATAGGGTGGTTCAGTGTCTGCCTTCCTTTTTTTCTTCATTTTATACAACTGAGCAATATCTTGTTCTTTGCGGGCCCTTTATAAATTGTTAAGTCTTTCTAGATGAGATTTATTAAAGCATGTGGCAAATAACTGGCCACACTTTTCAATTAAAAATGTGATTTTAGAGACTACCCTTTTGCATATGCTTCTACATAAATTCCTTAGCTTTTACTGTTTGGTTGAAGTTTTTGGTTTTTTAGTGAATAAATTTTGAAGGAAGAAAAATTTGAATTGCATGATTTGTTACTAAATAGACTTTTTAAACTTGCTTTTAACAATAGGAAATTAAATGCCTGCCTTCCTGTTATAGGGGCAAATGGAACCCTGATTGTTTGATGATTGATGGCATGATTTCCCAGTTAGGTGATTCAGTTGTGAAGTTGTGGCAGAAAGATGATGGGGGGACTGGAAAGTATCCCCCTCCGACATTACATGTAAGTAACATGAATAAGACAGGCAATTTTGGGTAGTGGTTTAAGGCAGTAGGCTAGTAACTGGGAGATTGGATTCTAGTCCTGCCTTAGGCACAAAGCTAGCTGGGTAATTTCTGAAAGTCTGAAAAGTGCATGACTTTGTCCAGGAAATTGCCAGTAATGAAGAATTTTGTAAAAGATATGCTGCATTTGAATAATTGACTTAGTGTGTGTGTTCTAATTATAGGCATTGCTTGATCTCTACTTGTTAGAAAACACTGAAGAACTCTACAAGCATGCAATTGTATCCTTTCAGAAACATAAAATATGACAATGGCTGCCGCATATTTCATTTTCAAGTTTTAAAATATAATTGTTCTTTTAAAAATTAACACTTTCTATTATCATTTCTGTCCAGCACTTACAAAATAAATGAAAACATGGATATTATTGGTTTGAATAATACAATATTGAACCTGGGAGGAGTTTGCTATTTACAAGTCTGTTTCCTACTTTGTAGGTCTCTCCACATTTGCATATTCAGTTGAGACTTCTATTATCCTTTAGGCCAGTGTTTCTCAACCTTGACAATTTTAAGGCATGTGGACTTCAACTCCCAGCATTCCACAGCCAGCATTGCTGGCTGTGGAATTCTGGGAGTTGAAGTCCACATGCCTTAAAATTGTCACGGTTGAGAAACACTGCTTTAGGCCCAGAAAAGAGCACAATTAATCCAGTTCATGCAAAGTACACGGATGATTTTTTAAAAAATTTTGTACCTTTGCAAAGATAAAACATCACAAAACATCATGAAACATCACAGTTGTATGCAGAGCAGGAATTGTTTTAAACTCAGGACAAATCTGTCTTGAATTAAAGACACTTCTGACATGTTTTTAAGAATCTTTTGTGTGTCATAGTCATAGTTTTGACTCAGAACAGTTCAAATGAAGCATTTTGCAGGTCCCTAATGCCAAGCTATGGAGAGGCCAAAGTTCTTGTATGTTCTTTACTTTCTTAATTTCAGTAATTCAAAATTTTTACTGTGAAGTTACATTTGCAAGACAGAATTGTGGCTTCAGAATTCATTTACATTAAAGATTGAAATTATATATGTTTTAATATTGTTAATGAGATTTTACAAGATAAAATTGTAGCAAAATATATTTATAAAATAGGAATGTTCTATTATTTCATAGGAAACATAACTCTCTCAGTTATCCTTAATAAGCTAATTAGACTATTTATTTATTACTGGATATCATGCATTCCTGTCCAAACAGAACAGATACTTCAGTGGATTCCTTCCCAACAGCCTTTGCAGTTCCAATAGGTCTGGTTAACCTAATTCAGGGTTTTTGGTGTTTGGATCATAATGACTATGAGGTCAGTATAAAATAGCAGTTCAATTATTTTATTTATTATTGGATTTATATTTTACGTCTTGGCTTATATAAGTTTTCAGTGCTTCTTGAGAAAGTGCATTAAAGTACTCTAGAGCAGGGGTTCCCAACCCACGGTCCATGGACCGGCACCAGTCTGCAGCATGCCAGAAACCGGGGCCCACAAACAAGCGAAGCTCTATCTGTGGGATGCAGGCAGCATGAGAAACCACGCCCCCCTCTGATCTGCAGAAAAACCTCTCAGCCAACATACTACATAAGAAGAAGAAATTAAAATTGGCAATCTGGATAATACAAACTTGGAATAGCTGTACAAAGTACTAGACACACACACACACACACACACACACACCAGAGAAAATACTAGTTTAGATTATTCATATACTTTTTATTTCTATTCTAATTATAACCTTGCGCTTTTGCAGAATTCTCTGTCCTATCTGTTTCATCCAGCTACAATCAAATTGCCCTGGCAACACATGCGGATCATTCAAGCTTTGATGTGTCAAGGAGAGCACAAGCGAGCCCTTCGATATATACACATGATGAAACCATCCATGATAAATAGCACTGAAGTTGCACTCCACCTTACTGTCTTACTATATAACAGGTAAAGCACATCTTTATCTTTTGTAATATTATAAAGAAAAATGATCCTCAAATATATAGCAGTCTATCAAAATTACTATTTTTTTTAATCAAATGCATAGGATATTAACAGTTTTTAATGTAGTTTTTTTTCCTGAAGAAGAAAAATCTGCCAGAATTCTAATTCTGAATTTAATTTCAGTTGCATGGTGGAAGCTTGGAACGTGTTACGGCAACATTCTAGCCAATTAAATGTCGAAGAGATGCTCAAACATGTTTATGAAATTTGTCAGGAACTCGGATTGATGGAAGATTTACTAAAATTGCCATTCACAGAAACTGAACAAGTAAGTCAGAACAAAAATACAATCTAAGGAGTAACATTTAAAAAAAAAAGCAGCGGATGAATCATTAATACAATGGCATTACATGTGTCTGTTTATCTTCTGTAGGAATGTCTAGAGAAGTTTTTACAGACAAGTGCTGGTATCAACAATCATGAGTTTCTTTTAGTTCACCACCTCCAGAGGGCCAACTACATTCCTGCCCTACAGCTGAATCAGTCTTTGAAGATAAATCTCATGGTAAATCATAACATTTGGGAGTACACGTGAGAAATTAAGATGTCTATTTTCTAAAGTTACTGTTGTGGAAATCTGTTGCTCCAAGCTAAAATTAACTCCATCCACATAAAAAATTGAAGGTAGGAATGGCATTCCTACTGTTAAACTCGGTAGCCCCACAACACAAATTGGGAGCTGTTGGCGGGGGAGGGAGTTAAGATGGAGATAGGGTTAGTTTATCTCCTATAAATGAAATAGAGACTTCCTGTTCATAATCCTACTCTAAAATTCCTTGGAAAAAGAGGCTCCGAAAAACTTTGGACCTATTGTTTGTAAGTGACAGCATAATCTCAATACATAGCTTCTTGTGGTTCTCGAGAATGTTGGGAATAAGAGTTGCTGCTACCTCTTCATCACCCAATTATTTCATAGTTACTGGTTGCATATCCTCTAAGAGTTGTGTGTGTGTGTGTGTGTGTACGTGTGTGTGTGTGTGTGTGCATGCGCACGCATGTGTGCCTGCCTGCCTTGGAGTCAGTGTTGAGCTGCTTGGACAAGTCCCTGCAGTTTTCTTGAAAAGGTTTTTCAGAGGTGGTTTGCCATTGCTTCCTTCCAAGGGCTGAAATAAAATGACTAGCCCAGGATCACCCATCTGGCTTGATCCCTAAGGTGGGACTAGAACTCATGGTCTCACAGTTTCTAGCCTGATGCTTTAACCACTACACCATACTGGCTCTTTTTTATAATTGCCAGCAGCATGCATTCTAACAATAAACACAGTAATAATTCCCCCCAAAACTATTTTGGATTTATTATCAAATGTGGCTTCTAAATATCTCATAAGTAAGAATACTAAGAAGTATAATTCATTGGTTAAATCTCAGAACCATAAACATAACATTTGTTTTTAGATTTCAGAAATAAATTTATGCATCCCCAAAGAACAGTTATAATCACATGCTCCTTTTTTTGGCAGCTCACACATTAACAATATTTCAAAACTAGTAGCAAATCAGGTATAGCCTTATTTTTACAGTTGTTTTGCCTAAATAGTTAAGATAAGCTGCACTCTGAATTAAAAAAAAACAGCTCTTAACATAGAGAGTAACTACAATAACTCAAAAAAAAGGCTTCTTAATTTACCCCATCACAATTTACAACATGCATAATTACTTATTTTTGCACAAGTATTCAGTCTTACTGTTTTCATGAAAAAAAAAAGACTTGTTTGGGGTTTGAAGTGAAGACAGTATATTTTGGAGTTTCTGTCAAATTGATCTGTTCTGTTGAACTGAACTGATCCTCATTGGCCACAATTTGGCAGAAACTGGGAATTTGAGGCAAGGAATCTTTAATGCGATGTGAAAAAATCATCTTGTGAGACAGGAAGAAGAGCTGCAACCTAAACAACTGCTTGATGAGTGAATGAGTCCAAAACAGGAATGAGGGTGGAGGAAGCATCTCAGAACTGGCCCTCCCTAAAGGAAGGGGAGGGGGGGAAAGCATTTTCAGACTGGCAAGATTTTGTTACTGTAATCTTGCAATAAAGATAGTATTAATTTGGTTTTGGTTTGCTGGCCTAGCCAGGGCTTTTCAACCAGTGGTATGGGCACCACCTGTGGCACATTGGCACCTGGCAGGTGGTACGCGCCCATCCTAGAAAAGTGGTAGCGGGGGAGGGGAATGAGCTGAACCGGTGGCAGCACCGCACAAGCCTGAGCGAGAGATGGCTGGAGCTGCAGGGCTGTCAGGGCTCAGTGGAAGCGCCAGAATCAGTGCAAGGCTCCAGCTGGAGCTCGGCGCTGATCCTGGCGCTTCTGCTGATCCCAGAAGAAGCACCAATCAGCTGGAATGTTGCGGCATCTCCAGGGTCTTGTGATTTACATTCAGATGCTTGGCAACTGATTCATATTTATGATGGTCACAGTGTCCCAGGGTCATGTGAAGTGACCAAAACCTGCTGCAACCACCCAGCAGACGGGGTGGGGGAATAATAACCAAACACCTCCCCCACCCCACCCCCGCTGCCAATCCTCAACAGAAATGCTCACAACAATGAAAACCTTGGACAGGAGGAAGAGCGCCACTGGGCACTGTCTTGCTCGGCTGTGGCTTGGGGGGCACTTTTTTCAGTGCCATTGTAACTTTGAACAGTCACTAAGCGAACTGTTGTAAGTCGAGAACTACCTGTACTTCATCACTTTTTTCCTCTTTTTTTGGTCAACAAGTTTTTGACACCTTGCTAGGCGACTGGTGGTACTCGGATGTTGCCATATCCTAAAAGTGGTACAATGGGTGAAAAGGTTGAAAAGCCCTGGTCTAGACAACCTGATAGAATCTTGCAAAAATAATAGGTCAGGGCTGGGGCATGTTGTTTCTTCTTCCGTCTTCCTCTTTGTGGCCTCTATCCTGGCCTGACCACGGCTTTCCCCAGCAGCTTTTCCTTTCCCTGTTTCCTCTTATCTGCTGTTACTGTCCAAGCACAGCCATTGCAATCCATCTCTGTCCCTTTTCCTTGCAGTTCCTTTTCCCCTCCCTTCTTTGTTGCTCTTAGTTATTCCTCGGCTGTTTTTCTACTTCCAAAATATGTCAATGCAAAAATCACTCTCCAAGGCAGCATGTTATCCAGACCAATTACATGCATGGAAATGTTTATACATAGAACATTTTACACATTTCTATTTACTATTAACTTGGCATCAGGATTTACTCATGTTCAGATCCACTTGGTCTGTGACTGATCTTGTTCCAATTTATGTACATGGGTTTGTAATTGCCATAAAGGGTGGCAGAAGGGAAAATAACAAACAAACTTCAATTGTCTTTCAGCTGTTCTAGTGCATTCTTCATTCAGAATTCTTTTTATTCTTAAATAGAATGATCCTCAATGGAGAGAGAGATCAGTTGCCAGAAATTCCATATTAGACCATTATGGCAAAGTTCTGCCTCGAATTCAAAAGAAGTTAGCCATAGAGCGAGCCAAGCCTTACCATTTGCCATCTTCACTACGGCGGGAAAGTAAGTTGCTCGTTCAATGAAAATTGTAGAAATCTATTTTAAGAATGTCTGTGGAAATGATCAGTCATCCAGGTCATAGTTGTCTCAAAGATGCTTTTCTCTTCAAAAGGCAACTGGACTGTTTTTTTCCTTGAGGAGGAAGAAGAAAACGTTTCGCTTCTCATCCAAATAGCTTCATCAGTTCTGTTGGCCAGGGGATGGAAGGATAGGTTCTGATAGGGTGGTGGGGAGGGGGAGGAGAAAGGATGGTATTTCTTTGCAGTCATCTAGTTGTTAGCACTCTCTCTGAGAGCTGATGAGGCCACTTGGGGGTTTATCTGTGCCCTCAGGGTCACTTGAATCGGGATGCAATTGGTTGTGGAATTTTCTTGGAACTGCTGCCAGGGCTACCTTGTAGACTCGAGATAGGTGGCGTCGTATTCCTCCCCCTCTGTTGCGGGAGGGGTGTTTCCTCCTTCCCCCTAATATAGATGGATTTTTTTACCCCTCTTTCAAACCAAATTTAAGAATATTAATTTTTTAATTTCTGTGTTTACTTGATTTATTTTTCTTTCTAGTTTTAAGACCAAAACCATTATCAACCGTTGCAAAACAGATTACTACTGGAAATGTAATTACAAAAGCAACTTTCATCAATAATGTATTGTCCAAAATTGGAGAAGTGTGGGCAGGAAGTGAACAGAAAAACAAGTCACTTGAGAATGATATGTAAGTATTTATTTCACTACTCTGGCATACACGGGTATAATTCAGCCAAAAGATTGGTATATCAATTTGATAGGGTCTTCCCGGTCCTAACACTCTCCAAGTTGGCCTGAGCTCTGTTTGCAGTATCTTGCTGAGCCTCTGCAGGCAGAAAACTGTTGCAACACCCCTGTGCCTTTCCCAGTGGAAGGCAACCACAACTCTTTTGGGTAGCCCTTAGATTCCATTTACAGTCCTACAAGAGCATTTGGGCATTTGAAAGTAAGGCCGAGAACATTGGTGCTCTCTTTCTTTCTGGCACTTTTGCCTGTTTCCTCTATAGAGAAGATAAGACAACCAGAGCCCTCCACTTTTCTCCTGTATGGATAATACCATTTTGTTTGTGCTGGCCTTTGGACTTCCCCTACATAGAAAAATGAAGGAGTCATTTTTGAGGAGTTGGCAAGACATGATATCGGAGCCACCATGATATCGGAGCCACCAGCATCCTGTGTTAGGATATCATTGTGATATCTGTTGCCTATCCCTAAAGCTACAGAGAAATTGTTTTCAGTCTTCATTCTGTTATTCTGATATTGCTTCACTAGTTTAGTAGTGGGCTTTAAATTAGTAGAAACATTGGGTTAGAAAATAAGAACTAATAGTCAAGTGCTGGAGATACCAATAACATGGAGGCAGTAAGAATTATGTAATTTATCCACTTTCTCCTTTTGCAGAATGTAATATTTTGATGGACAAAATTATTTATTTCTCTTAATTTGACTTTTCATTTTTTTCCTCAAAAGTGGATCTGAAGAACAATCATCCGTGTTGAAGCCCTGCCTTGATAGACAGTTACCAGATCCATTTATTGGGACACCAAATACTAAATCTTTAAGAAAATGTTCCAGGTAAAAATAAAAATAAAAATGTCAGAGAGAAATCTACTAGGAAATCCACTACCATTGTTTGTCCTTTACTTTCTGACTAGTAGGAGTCATCAAATCAGATTACTTATAATGTGACCCTATTCTCACAACACAATAACATCTCTGTTGACCCAGTCAATATATTGTGGAAACACATAAGCTTAGTTTGTTAATCTGTTTTGTGTATTTAAAAAGTCAGCTGCTAAAAAAACAAAGCTGTTCATTTTAGAACTCACTGCCTGGTAGAGTAGTAGAACAGAACTCTAAAACACTGATTGTCTACAGCACCCAAGTCAAACTTGCTTGGTCAATGGAAAGAGGCTAGCATTCTCATGAATTTTGGCCTGTATTATCCTGATACAGGAACTCATGGGATGTAAGACTCTTCCTCAAGTAATTGTATATAGTCTCTGTATTCAAAAAATTGTGGTTCCTGACCCAGCATAGGTAGATCTTGACTTGTTCACTGATTGTTCAGAATTACAGTGATGCTAAAAAAGGAGGACTTATGACTGGTCCCGTGGTAGTGTGATTGCAATCCAGGTGTTTGATTATCCAGTTTGTGATTAGGACATTGTAGTGAGCTGATTGCATTTGCGACCTTCCTTGCTGGCTTCTCTCAAGCAAAGTCAATGGGTAAGCTATCGGGGAAGGTCGCAGGTCATTCCTATAAGTCGCTCCTGCCACTTTTTCTCCTGAGGAATCTCACTACAAGGTATGAGACCCCAGAGATCTCATATTCTGTAGCACCCTTACCTTGACCATCCAGGCTTTCCAGTACCCATGTACTGTCCTTGCTGGTCTGCTCACACTTTCCAGGGCCTGCCCACTGCCTTTTCTGATCTGTTCACACTTCCCAGCATCTGTCTGCTGTGATGCTAGCCCACCCATGCTTCCCAACGCCTGCCCACTGCCCTCGCTAGCCTACCCACACTCCTTAGTGTTTACCTGTGACACCCCCCATTCCCCCATATTCCTTACTTGGGATTCCCCCCTCCCTTTTCCCACTTAACAATGCGCAAAATCCTGGATTTATGCTGGCAACCAGGGACTGCTGTGATAATGCAATTAACAGTTAAATATTTGATGATATTTAAAAATTAAAGTAATGTGTATTCTTCATGCCTGGGAAACTTTCATTCTTTCAAATGACAACTTGAAAAGTGCCTGTTTCAGCGTAGGTGCAATTCGAAGCAGCTTAATGTTTTAAAAACCTTGAAATATTTACAGATTGCTTGACTTGATGATCCAACCTATTTCTCTTGATTCACCACCTTTGAGAAGAAGCCAGCAGAAGTCTCCAGAAGTTTCAGCTTCTGGCATACTTTCTAGCCCACTGCATTCCAGTTCTCAATACTCCGTAAGAACATTACTGCCCAAGAACATTGCAAGAGCACCAGAATTAAAATTATTGGAAACACCTCCTGTTGTCAAGGTATATAGATTTGTGTAGGCTGCAGAAACCTGTATTTCTGAGGCTGAAAAGTGAAGTAATGATGACTGTCTATAAACTTGGAGCTTTAGGTTACACATTTTTAAGATGTTTTGTCCTCTCCTAGAGAGCTAAAGCTTTGGCATCCACATCATCCTCAGTCTTCCCTGGTTTTACTCCTCAGTCAATATTGAGATCCAGCGTTCGCACTAGTCCTTTAGCAACTCCAACTGCATCTCCAGGGAGATCAATTACACCCCCTCTGCGTGCAAAAGAAACAAAAATATCATTTATGGAAGAAAGCAAAACTTCACAATGGACTGGGGTAAGTTGGCAGCATTGCTGCAAAAGCAAACACATGATTTCTAGGCAGGACCCTGCTGTTGTCCTCTTTATTTATTAAACATTTCAGTATTACTGCAATCAATCTGAGTCTTGGCAGCTTACGTAGAAAAAATATAAATCAAAACCTACCTAGTACAAAAGATAACAAAAAAATAATAACACAGGGGGGGGGAAATGAATAAATGGAGAGGAATTTTTATCCTGTGGAATATAGAATAAATTGAATTCACTTCAGATCTGCAATTTCTGTTAGGGATGTGAATATAGAGCCCAGTGTGTAAACATCAAATACATGCAATTTGCCCAGGAATTAGAGCTGTATGTGCTTTGGGAATAATGACCCTGTACAGAATCTTGGTTGCTTTGGGGAAAACTACATAGGAATTGGCTGAGGTAAAGGAGATTTAAAAAATACAACAGGAAATAACAAATATTCCACTCCCCCTTCACATACAGATAGTTCTTGACTTAATGACCATTCTTCAGCGACTGACGTTCCAGTGTGCTGTACAAGGGCATGTAAGGCTAGTCCCCAAAGTTACAGCTGTTGCACTATTCCTGCAATCACATGGTCAAAATTAAGGCACTTGACAGCCTGCCGGCAATTAAACTATAGGGGTGCTTCAACTCTCTCTCTCCTCCCCCCTCCCCCCGTGTGACTTCTCTCCATCCATGCCCTTTTGGCTCCCTGAATTTTGCAGCCCCTGCCATCCTAGCCGACCTTTGCCATCTTTTTTTTTCTCCCACTGCTGACCAAGGATGCCTAGCCTGGCCCTTTGCAGGGCAGTTGCTGGCCAGGCTTTCTTTCCAGGGTTGTGCTCGGCAGCACCTTCACAAGACCCTGGAAAGATGGCCTCAGATGGCCAGCAGCTGTCTCACAAAAGGCCAGGCTGGTCAGGCCTCGTCAGCAGCAGGAGCATGAAAATGGCAGAGGTCAGCTGAGGTGGTGGAGACAGGGTGACAAAGACCTCGGAGGGCAGTGTGGCAAGGGCAGCTGGGACTGGGCTGGAGTGGCCATGGCTTCCCAGTGTGTCAAGAAGCCCTGTGACATTGTGCAACTGGACTGGGCTTTGCACTGTGAAGGGCTTCATGCTGCAGCTTGAGTTCTTGCAACTCCAGAGCTGCAGCGCACCACGAAGACTCTGGAACACAGCATATTCTTCCCCTCCATTCTCCCCCCCCCCATCTCACTTCAGCATCACCCCAACTTGTGTGTGGTCTGTGCTAGTCCTCCCAGGGCTTCCCCTAATCTCCTGTAGCCCACCATGCCCCTCATATATTTAATCACTTGCACATCTGGAGGTATAACAACTGCTAGGATTGCCGTTGCTTAGCAATGCAGTCGCATGATACAGAGTTCCATATAAAAATCAGCACTCTTTAAATAAATCATAATTTACCAATTAACTTTAATTCAATTTGTGCAAATAAGCCACACGTATCTACATTGTGGATAGTGGAGTACGCTGGATCCCACCTTGGTGCATAGTCAGATTTTCTTTTATTGGAATGTTTTCTTTTTCTTTTCCTTTTCTTATTAGGAGACAGATCATGAAATAAACAATGCAAATACATCTGAATATATTCTTGAAGCTCAAATGGAAGAAAATTGGGTCAAGAATAGAGAGACTTCCTCCATTTCAGGTCACAGCCTTCAAGAAGAGCTTGAAGAAAGAGGCCAATCATCAGAATGCATAACAAGTGATCAGTTGAATGAAACTAAAGTCTCCAAAGAAATTAATGACACTGGTGTGAAACCAACATACATTACTTCAGAATATCATGATGCAAAATCAGTTGACTTTGGAAACTGCAACTTCATGGGCTCTCAACAAACTGCTATTTCCTTTGGAGAAATTGTAGACCTACCAGGATCAAGTGAGAGACAAGTAAATGAAATAAGAAATGAACCTGTAATGGAACAGCAAACATCTGCAAATATAGAACAATCAGCTGGTATGTATAATGTTATTTGATTGTTCACAGGTACGATGGAAAGGACCTAAGAAGGATGGTCATAATGGATCAGAACAGAGATCCCATCTGATTTTTCCCTGATTTTTCAACACTGGTAAACCGGTGTTCCAAACAGAAGATGTATTGTCTTACATTTGTTTCTGTTATCTGCGATTTGAACCTTGGGAGGGGAACTAAATAGTAAGCTGATGGTCCTTACACTCTTGGTACTCGGGAATGCTGAAAAGTTTGAATAAATCAACGCCGTATCAGGTAGAAAACAATGATTTTATAAAATGTTGATAGCAGCATTGCCTGGGGAATTCAGATGGATCTAAACTTTAAAAGAAAAAGAGACACTTTAAGGAAAAAGGGAGGTGGGCCTAGGAAGGAGCACTCAGGCTCCTAAGAATTTGTAGAAGATATATGAAAGTCAGGGAATGTGTTGTATCCCACCATTGCATAGCTATTTAGTACTTTGATTTAAAGCAAGTTGTTTAAAATACTATGGACCAAATAGTAGATGACTTGAGGGTTAAGGAAAAGAATTTTCAGAAATGGCAGAGGACCTCTGGTTTGATTTTCCTCACCTTCTCTCAAAACACCTGAAATGCACTATACAATTCTTCTGTTATCTTGAACTATAAATAAAAATATTTCTCCTGGAAATGTGCAGAGAAACTAAGAGCCTTTTCTTAACGCTTGTTAAAATAAAAGTTATTAATAAAATCAAGTAACAGTAGCCATTTCAGTGTCCCATGGTAGTAGATCACCTATGTTGATAGACATGAACGTGTTACTCTCTTTGGGGAAAACTTTCTCCAAATAATTTGATACAGCATTACTCATTACATTATCTGCACATCATAGCAAGAAGAGATCACTTCTGTGTGGAAGAGATTAAACTTTCCTCAGTAAAATACTTGGCCCACACAGAACTTTCTCCAGGCTGGTTGACCTCACATATTGTGTTTAAAAATACAACCATATTTCATTGAACAGTAGGTCATACATAATGCTAAATTATAATCCATAGTTTACAAATTTCTGGGTTTACACCCACAATAAACCATTGAAACGCCGAAGAAGACAAAAGCAGTGACGCATCCGTATATTGTTCCTGCTTTCCTCAAAGTTTGCCTCAAGGTGAGACTAAAACCAAATTTTAAAAAAATATTATTTTGACCTATTCATTTAATGAAAATGAATATATGAATTCTGATCATCTTTACATTTAAAGTAATTTGCCCCCCGTCCCCATTACTTGGGATGTAATCCTCAGTGCAGCTCTGAAAAAGCAAATTCAGCTTTAACCTCTACACAAATTTTATGCTTGCTCAGTTGAATGTGGAGTATTGGACTAGAAAACAGTGAGTATAGTGAATAGCCCAGTACCATTGGTTAGCTCTTTGGGCCTCAGTTTTTTTTAGAGACAATTCAGTCTTGATACATTACATGTTCCTGAGATTTTGGAAGGGTCAATAGCAGTTCAAGACAGGGTCTGTCAACTAAGCCAAGATAAACATTTTGACTTCTATTCATTTTTATTGCAACTTAAGTAAGAACATTAGGTTCCACCAGTGTTATGTGAGCCTCTGTGGCTTGGAAAATGGGAGGTAGATTTATGCCTTAAAAAAAAAGATGAATTAGTATTTGGGGGAAAAATCATTATTGAGAATACAGTATTTTTAACTTTTATTGTTCATAGAATCCGATGAAAACGATGACAAAAAATGTGGCTCAATTCCTGAGGATGAAATATTTTCAAAGGAACATTTGAAGGTTGACGAAGACATCATAGTCTCCTTTTTGCCTTCTAATGAATGGTAAATATGTCATGTATAATTTCAAAATTTTAGATGAGATAGTTTGCTTTAAAAATTAAATTGCATGTATAGGTGCCCACTTTCTTATCTTTTCATGAGTATGATTTATCCAGATAGAATGGAATGCCATTTTCTAGTAGGTAGCCAAACTCCAGGAGTCAGCTTGCTCTAAATGAGTTGCTTTTCCCTTGAAGGAGCAGATCCACACCTGGGACTGTTGCTTGAGTTCCCTGATATCATTACATTTCCTGTTAGCTCAGTGGCAAGAAGTAATTTGCGCACTCGCCTCTATTGCACCCATCTGCAGTCATTCATGGAGCCAGATCTGATCATGGTTTTCCATAGATCTTCAGTTACTCACCAGTTAGATGATTGCAATGTGCTCACTGTAGGATTACTAGAGTGCTTAAATTCATATAGAATGCACCAACTAGTCTGCTATCCTGTGCACAATCGCAGAATAAGATTGTGCTCATGTTGAAAGTTCTGCACAACTTGACAGTTGACTTATTAATTCAGTTCAAGAGGTTTAATCTATGAAGCTCTCAGACTATTGACTGGCCATAAAATTTGACTTGGTTAAACATGTTTGCTGTTATCAGTGGTCTATTGCTAAGCAGACAGGAGAAAACTTCCTCTTGCAACCACTCATTTTGTACTTGCCCCTAGCCTATGTTCTTAAATTATTGACTGGGGCTTACTTGCTATTGAATAATGCCTCAGCAGGTGGCAGCATGTAAAGCTGACCTCTGATTTCAGAAGCTTACCAGATTTAGCCCCAGTTAGTATGTGGATGAGAAACCAGATGAAGTTCTATGGCAAACCACAAGAAGATTGCATTGGTGCAATCAGTGGCTTCTTTCCCTTATCTGGCTTCTTTCCCTTCTTAATACCCAAACTCTAAGTGAATGTGCAGAGTTGTAACAGTTACATCAATTAGGCATAACTTTTGCGTAATAGTAATGGGTTTACAATTTCTATGCAACAGGGCCAGGCTGTTGTTCTTGTGTACCCCTTGCAATATAATTAAATTGTTATGCATGATGCCAAAATAGTATACAACAAAAAGTTTTTTTTTAAGTTTTATCTTATTAAGAAATCTTTTTTAAAAAATGCCCCTCTATATGCATGTATCTGTATATGTTTTTATACAGTGCAACTAATAATACTCCAGAATCCAGCATGCTACCATTGTCGGAAGACAACAGATTCCTTGCTGAAACAAACAGCCAAGTTCAGAGGGTGGAAGGAGCAGATGGAGAATGTAGGTATTTTGAATATCAAACAAATGGAACAAGCAATATGAAGTGTTCTTTTCACATCTTTTTTTCAAAAAATATAAAATGCTGGAAGCGTATTACTGTATTTTCAAGATTGGCTTTCCAAGCACATGTCTAAAATCTTTTAACCTGAACATTTATATCTTGACAATAGCTTTTTTTAAATTAGCTTTTTTTTAGTATTTTATTATTTTAATTATTAATGCAAACAGATAAAGAAGTATTTTAATTGTTTCTATGATTAATTGCTGTGTTGATGCTGCTCAGATTCTACAGTGCTGTTGCATAATTTAGATCAGGGGCCAAATGCAACCTTTCAAAAAGTATTGCTGAAGAAAGTAGCCATGTTGCTTGTCCATTTTACTGCATATAAAAATAAGGCAAATAATAATAAAAATTAAAATAAAAAAAAAATAGACAGGATTGATGAGCACCAGAAGGAAGCTGAAAGAAGAATTTATCAACATCCCAGACCAAAAGATGGCTCCTCACGCACGTAGCAGGAGAGTGATTGTGCAGCTTGCCGATGTTGCTTGGGATCAAGTAGCAGTTTTAAGGCACTGTCACAGCCAGGGTTGAGGGCTGCATTCCTCCACTTCTTGTCAGCTACTAATAGGCCTGGCTATTATGATCTTGCTCCCTTGTCCTCCTAGGGCACCTCAGGCTGTAGGGAGACCCCACATAGGAGGCAGTTGTGAGGTCTTCAAATCTAGGTGGCTTTAGAGGTTTAGTGCTTCTCTCTTACAATGAGGGTCCTGGAATTTCTTCCACAGAACCCATAGTTTTGTTGTTCCTGGCCACTTTCTGTGCAAGAGCAATCCACAGCATACTCCGTGCCAGTATCAGTAGCACCCTAGCCATCAACTTTGTAGTTCTCACCATGGCCTAAATGGTAAAATGAAATGGTAAAATTATGCAGTTCAGTTATACTGAATTGCATAACGTGATACTCTTGCTTCTTTTATTTTTTACTCACAAGAGATGTTGGATCTTTACTCAGTCAAAAATGAAATCTAGTGATTTGATAACACTATGAAAAGGTTTTAGTTTTGCAGTACTTGAGCTAATAAACTATTGATCTATTTGCCCTTTCAACGATTTGCACTTGAGAATCTTGATGTAGAATATATTTGAGTAAAGAAATTAGTTACACAGATAGTCCAAAAATTACAACCAGTTATTTAATCATAGTCTGAAATTATGATAAAGGGTGCTTTATGGTCTGTGAAGCACTTCCAGTCATTGCGAAACATCGCACCACCTCCTTGCGATCATGTGATTGCATTCTGGATGCTTGGCAACTTGTTCGCACTTTCAACTGTTTGCCAAGCATCCCACAATCATGTGACTGCATTTACAATCTTCTCTGCTGCCAAGAGGATTCCCTTTCGTTTCTCTGGGTTGGCTGAAGGAGCTGCATTATGCTGAAATCCTTTGGCAGGCAGCTCTTTTGATTCATCTGCCTTATGACCCAGGAGATCTCTTAACAATTGCAACTGAGAGTGCTGGGATTGTGATTGTTGAGCAAAACAGTCTCATGAGTTTCCCCGAATGTCCCCTTCGCTGAACAACTGAGGTTCCAGTTCCAAGTATGATCGTGCAGGTTTAGTAAGGATTTTGTTTAATCTCATTATTCACTAAACTGCTTCTTCACTCTGTAATTCTTTTCAAAATCAGTTCGTTAGAATTGAGTACTAATTATACAAATTAAAATTGAAACTATAACTTTATAAACTTGGAATTATATTAGTAGGCCTTAGATTTTTTTTAACATGAAATTTTAATTCTTGTAGAATCTCCTGAAAAGGTGAGACTTTGCAAGTAAGAAACTACTGAGTGAAAATATCTTCTTCCATTTTTTCCATGGAAAAACCACTCAAAAGCCAACCGTATTAATCTGCATTTTAAATTATCCAGATGCATTATAGAAAGTTATTGCATCTATGTTCCACCTAGAGCCTGATCCTGCACCTTGAAAGAAGCTGGTTAAAAATACCCAAAGCTTTGCTGTATGTATGCAGATTGCCGAGCTTTTATGAACAGACAAAAAAATAGACAACAAAGCCTGTAGGTCATTGTAATCTTGATGCAAAGATTTAAAAGAGGGCTAATGTTCATTTTGGAAAAAGATGTGACTACAGGGTGGAACAGATACTTGTTATCGGATAAATACTTGCACAATAAATATTCATTCTGCTTATCCCTTGAGGAGAAATAGTTTAATATTAGCATTTATGGTGTATAAAGGGAAGAACAAATATGATTATTACATTTCTGTAAAGGAAAGATGAAAAATATGGTTAAAGGATCTAATAATATTTAACAGCAAAGATTTCATTCAGAAACAATAAAATCAAATAATGTCAGAAAATCACTCTTTCAGCTGTCATCAGTATTCCTGATAGTGAAGACATTGCGAGTATCCATTCAAAAAATGAGCTGGAAGAAAGAGAAGCAATAGATGAAGGTGAATTGGAAAAAACAATCCAAGAGGAACATCTGGTAATCCTGCAAGAAAAAACATTGCCTAACATTGATTCTGAAAATCAAAAAATGGATGTAAGTTAACTTCTTTTTACACATGATTAGAAAACTGGCATTACACTTAATTCTATGTTAGCAATATGGGTCCCAAAATTTCTTCTTAAAGATGTTCATATATAAACAATTGAACCAATTGTATAATCTATGTCTGTTTTATAGTAGCAATAAAAAAAGAATGCAATAACATTTCTATACTACAGTAACCATGGGTGAGAGCCAGTATGGTCTTGTCGTTAAGGCATTAGGCTGGAAACCAGGAGATTGTGAATCCCGTCTTAGGCATGAAAGTCAGCTGGGTGACTTTGGGCCAGTCACTCTCTGGATCCATGATGTCAGGCTCAGGCAACAAGCCAGTCAGTCAGTCAGTTCCTGTTGCAATAAAATGCAAAAAAAAAAAAAAATACCAGGAAAGAAAAAGAGATAACCGTCGTATATGTGCATAAAATGATTAAAAAAACATGTTCCTGATCTTTGTAAATAGGAAGTAATAGCTACAGGTTTGCAAAGCCAGTTTCTGCAATTTCCTTTTGAACATTTTTGCTGAGGTTACTTTGCAGACCAATGCATGGACTGTTGAATTAGCCAGTGAAATGTAACTTCAGAAAATCTGAAATTTTTGAAGAACAGTTATTCATAGTTATTATATTTCTTGAAAAATACTGTGTAATGGAATTCAATGTATGTGCTTTCTATTTTAGCTGACGGGAGACGGAAAACATGAGATACAAGTTTCAGAAGCTATAGTAGAAGAAATCCCATACAATGAACTGTGTTCCTCAAGCAATCTCAAATTTCAGTATTACTGTGACAGTGTAGAACAACAGATTGAATGTGAATTACTTGAAAAAGATGCTGATGAAACTTCATTTACTGAAAGAGATGGAGAACTGCTGTGTCACAACAATTTTTCTTTAATATTAGAAGGTGATGACGAAGATTCTACTAGTTTGCATGCTTCTCCTCTGAAACCAGCTAGCCCAGAATCAGAGGATAGAAGCAACAACCAAGAACTAACTACAAATTCTGTGTCCACGGTAACTAGTAATGAGATACCACAGAATACTGCCGAAGTACTACCTTATGTACCTGAACCAATTCAAATGGCTATTGCTGAAAATCTGTTAGATGTAATCAAAGACACAAGAAGTAAAGAACTTTCAGCTGAGATATTAGAACAATCTTTTCATGAAAGCATAAGCAAGAAAGTATTAAATTTATCCCAGGGTCCTATTCAAAATGTTCATGAAACAAATAATGATGTAGAATTAAATAGAATTGAAAATTTGATGCCTGGCATAAGTTCAACAGATCAGGCAAACCAAAGTCTAAATATTTCGTGCAAGGATCAATCACCGACAAAGAAAAATAAAGCAACAATATTGGCAACCCCTACTCTAAGGAGAAGTGCTAGGCGAGCAATGAAGACATCAGACATTTCTGAAAAGCTACCATATAATTCTGAAGGACCTCAAGAACAACAGATTTTCCAAATTCCTGATTTTCCCATCAGAGATGTGAAGGAAATGAAGAATGAGTTAGAAATCTCAGCAAATGTTCATCCTGTTTCACCGACATTTTTGGCAACTGTTACCACAAGGAGTGGAATTAGAAAACCAAAGAAAAGTGTGTCGAAACGTTATGGGCATCCCTGCAGTGATCTTCCTTCTGCTCGCCAGAGGACTCCTAGAATTACAAGAAGCGTAGTAGGAAATCAAAATAGTAGTCAGTTTATTATTGATCATACAATACAAATGACAGTCACTCCTAAAAGTGCAACAAAACTAAAAGCTATCGCCTTGCAACTTGCAGAAAATGTAATTTCGGATCAGGAGGTTGAACCTCAAGGAAAGCAGCTGTCCGTATCGCCAAAAAGAGGAAGGAGAAAAAAGCATGACGTATTGAAAGTAGTGACTCAGGCAGAAACCACACCTGAGAAGCTACCATTACCTACTCCAGTTCGAAAGAGTAGAAGCAGAAAGACCGGTCTATCAGAAACCATTTTGAAACATGACACGCAACCAAACGAATCACAGCTATCGGAACAGGAGAGAATACAAAGAATAGGTGCATCGGAACCAGTTTCGGATCGAGAGAGTGGTGTTACTGAACCACCATCTGTGCGTCGTAAAAGAGGTAGACCGAGAAAGAATTCTTTGAATGTTTCGGCAGAATCACAACTGGACTTGTCTCTGTTGTCTCCTCCGGATGCTACATCCTCAGTCCATAGGCGAAATACTAGGAGTGGGGCTGTACATCTGTCTACAACCTCAGGATGTTTACCTTCTCTAGAAACTTCTATAATGGAAACCCCAAAGAGAAGATCCTCAAGAGTGACATCTCGAAGTGTAGAGAAAACAGATACAGAAAAGTCTAACCTAAAAGAATGTGTTACCCGGCCAAGTGAGGCAGTAGCATCAGAAAATAAGTCTGAAAACAGGGGGTCTAGGATTACTAGAACTAGAAAGAAGACTCCATTGCCTTCTGTCTCAGAAACAAGTAGAGAGGAAGAACATTTGTTGCTAGCAACTGACAATGAAGTGGAATCAGAGTCTACAGATGTGGCCAGGCTGAGGCTTGGTGAAATAGAAGAAACTTTGACACCCCACGCTAGTAGCATTAAGAGGACAAGATTAAACCCAAAGAAAGTAAAACAGTCACTTTCCCTGGATATAAATGAAACCTTCTTTTTTTCTCCTCCTCTTACTAAGCTCACAGAAAAAACTAAAGGTACTTGAAATTTTGCTTCAGAAAAATTCTGTATAGTATAATCAAATTGTCTGTTCTGCATGAGGGTTGATCCAAGTCTAGAAAGGGTGCTGCAGGATACCAGTTGCATACACATAAAAATGTTTTCTGCTGACTGGATTGTGCCTTTTCCAAATACAGCCCTGCAGGAAAGTAATTTATGGTGTGACTAAAAGGACTTGGGGAGAGGAAATTCACAGAAACTTGTACAGGTAGTCCTCTACTTACAACAGTTCATAGAGACCGCTCAAAGTTACAACAGTACTGAAAAAAGTGATCTATGACCATTTTTCACACTTATGACTGTTGCAGCATCCCCAGGGTCATGTGATTTACATTCGGATGCTTGACAGCTAACTTACATTTGTGACAGTTGCAGTGTCCCGGGGTCATGTGGTCCCCTTTCTGATAGGCAAAGTCAATGGGGAAACCAGAATCACTTAACAACCATGTTACTATGCAACCATGTTAAGTGCAATGATTCACTTAACAAATGTAGCAAGAAAAGTCGTAAAATGGGGCAAAATTCACTTAACAATTTCTCACTTTGCAACATACATTTTGGGCTCAATTGTGGTCATAAGTTGAGGACTACCTGTATTTGCTTCTTAAGCATATGCAGTGAATAAAAATGTGCTTGTGTTCAATTATATATTTTCTAAAGGGTATAGAGATCCAGAATTCTAATAGAAAAATTACACAAACCTATGACGATTATTCCACCAAAGACAAAAGTGTGTTGTCTTGATTTTTTCTTGTCAGCATCATAACATCTGGTAACAAAGCAGTGTGCTGATTCAAACTAAGTCTGGAATGGTGAAAAAAATTGACCAAATAGAGCCACCCAATTAACAAATTCCAGATGTGATGCTTCTGGAGTGGAGGGGGAGGGAAAACCATCTAAATTGACTATAGAAGAGAAGAATTAGTTTAATGTATTGTAAGGCTATCTTCTAACTAAAATCTCCACATACCCCAAATTCAGTGTTAAGAAAAAGGGAAGGATTGAACTTAAGAGACTTTATTTATGTCTCTTGATTTTTTGTCTCTGGTTTTGTTGTCTTTTTCCATTGACCAGCCCTCATTTTTTTGGGTGAATGAAGAGAGAAGTAACCTGTATTTATAAACTGATGGAGGGTGATAAGGTGAAGGGAGAGTGCTTCTAAGTTAAACTGAGAAAACATGAAGCCTAACATTTCTCTGAAATATGAAATAGTTCTAAGCGCCTACAAAGCATCAGTGATAGTTGGGGGGAAAATAATCACTTTTCCATGTATTAATTTTCTGCTTAGGAAATATAGTTTGGCTTAATTTGCTGCCAGACTTCTCTTGATAGCGATAAGATGCCATCAGTTCTGGTTTTCAGCTCAGATGGGACCTATGCAAGAGTCAGCTATAAAGTATTACAATGTCCAGGGTTTACAAATTTTCTGTTCCATTGAATAGATCCTGGGATAGCTAGGAATATTAATTAAATATGGACCCTTGTAGTTGGTTCACATGATAAACTGCTGTGCAGCTTCAAAAAAAACCTGCAGGATTATACCTGAAGTTGTGTGCCTCAAATGTTTATTTCCAGTTTATGGTTCCTACTTTCAGGTGAAAAAGCAGTGAGACCTGTTCAACTTAAAGGTGTAGATACAGATTTGGCTTCTAAGTTTGTGTTCTCACCCCCTGTTCTGAGATCCAGAAAAAGACAGATGTCCAGTATTTCAAGGATTGTGGAAGATCTGGTAAGTAATTTGATCATTTCTTCTGTATGTATTCAAATGTTCTTATATTTCTTATATAATAGGGAAACTTGATAACTAAATTCTGTTAACTTGCTCATTGTATCATTTTACCATAGCAAGCCATTTGCTGGATGTCTAGTTCCTAGCCCTCTAATATTTACTTTCACTTTCAATATGACAACCATTCCAAAGCACTATTTATGATTTTTCAATTTGCTAGCATATTATCATCTTCAACAAATAGTTGGAAAATATCTTTCATTTTGTTGGTCTTGTATCACTAAGAGGCTTATGGGATTTACCTATTTTGAATTTAAAGTAACTTATAAGTAAACTTATAAATGCTGGGGGATAGAGACAATGTCTTCCTGTTCTGCCTTTTCAATATTATTTGTCTTTAGGAATTACCAGTTAAAGAAGAAAAGCATGCTGTTTCAGTAGAGACTTTAGAAAAGCTGAATATTAAAAAAAGCAGAGCTACAAGGTCAAAAGCAACAAAAACAAGCAAGTATGTTCCTTTTCTAAAATAGCTCTTTTCAAAAACTGATTATGTCCCATCAAGTTTTTTTTAGCTGCTAGAGATTTTTTTTCTTGGCTTTTCACTTTATTCTCAGGAGACTTCACTAATACCATAGATCAATATTCTTCCTATCCTGCTTCAAAAATAGTATATATGAAAACAAATATTTCAAAATTAGTGCGTATGAAAGATGTCACATTGATACATTTAATCTTTACTTGCTGCAATGTGAATTCTGATCCTAATTTTGTTACTGTTTTCAGATATAGTTAAATTAGCTTAAAAACTGCTCTCTTTTCTTACAGAATCTTAGGGAAAGACAGTAGTTGGTCACCCCCAGCAATGGAAATCAAGTTCATTTCACCCTTTGGCACCCCTGCAGATGAAGCCAAACGAAAGCAGGGAGATTCTGTGGACAAAACAGAAAAGGCTGTTCAAAAAACTGTGCGGAGGAAGGAGAAGAGACTGTCTAGCTACCCAAAGCCAGTTGTACGGAAGAAGATGCTATAACTGCTTTTAAAAATGTGCGATGTAAACCAGTGTTTGTAAAGTCATCACATTTGTTGGAATATTAAGGAAAAAAATCATCTAATTTGGAAGATAATTTATATAAATTATTGTAAATTTTCAGAGAACTACAAATCTTCAATAAGTAACTCCGTACGGAGTGTGATTTCTTCAGTCTGCAGTTTTCTATTTTATAATACACTTCGTACATTTATATAATATGTAAATAAATATTTTAGGAATGTTAAATAAAAATGTATACTTGATGATTATTGTCCACTACATTTTGGAAGAGAATAATATGGATGCAGAATGCAAATGACTCAAAGGGGATTTTAATTACGACTTTCCACTGTTGGTGCCTCTCTGATGGGAGGCCAGCATTCTTTTTTTTTAAAAAAGTTCGATCTTATAAATTTTTTTAAAATTAAAATTTCACACTTTTAGAATTTTTAGAAAATATGTTGACCTCATGGGAATTAATAGTAGGAGCTATCCACCCTAAATAAAACCTTATTCTCTTTATTCAACATGTATTTAATTGAAGAAGTCAGAATGTAAACAATTGTACTGAAGCTGTGCAATATTTTTTTGTATTTGTTTTAACTTGGGAAAGCTGCTCTTTGATTTAGAAAACAAAATCTCACCTCAAATGTTTTTTTTTTTCTTAACTCGATGCATCCGCAGAAGATTCTTAACATTCAAGGTATTTATATTGTCACAACTATTCAACAAGGGACAGCATTTCAGGGATTTCATCTACTTAAATTTAGTTCAAATTTGATATTTTGAGATGATGCATGTTTTATAGATTTTGTGGTTACTAGGGAAATGTTACCACAATTTTGCTAAAATAAAATTTGTCTGGAAATACTCTTCCGTAGTATTTGACCTATCATTGCAAAACAAAAAAGATGTAAAGAGGCTGAATCTAAATTATAGTTTAAGAAAAAAAGAATACATAAATAATTCAAATAAAATTTTTTACATAAGTTTGCCAAACATTCAGATGTATATTTGGAGACCAATACACAGTAGCAGTCAACCTAATCTAATCTAATGGAGCTTCTCTTAGAAATAATTTATCAGTCACCGTATACAGGTGACAAGTGAATATATCAATAATGTATTAGGTAGAAAAGAGCCTGGTTATTTGTGCTCCAGACCATTTTTAAAATTATTTTATCCAAGCAGTGTCCCAGATATAATTGATGCTTGCACGGTATGTTTTAATTCCTTGAAGAGTTTAAAGATGCCAAACTCGGACAGTGTGAAAGTGGCAGTACGTGTCAGACCTTTCAGCCAGGTTAGTTGTTCATTTTGTGCACTCTATTGTTTTTAAGTCATTGGGTTATTTGTGTTGGAGAGAAAAGAGATGAACAGGCAAAAACTTTGGTCTGATAACGGCATCAGCACTCGTAAATTAATATGTTAAATGGGGAGACAAAGCAAAACTTGGTCATGATGTGTATACTAATCAAGTTAACTAGATTATCCCTTGCTGGTGGTACTAGGCCTAGCTTCAATCACTTTTCAGGCATTTTTGCCCGAATCTATCAGTGTTTGATATAGTAAGTGATTCAATTAAATTTGCAAATGTGTTCTGCCTTGGGAATGTGTTAGACACTTGAGGCTGAGTACAATAGTCTAGTTTTAATTGCCCATTTATTCATAACAAAATTTTTAAAATAAATAAAGTAAAATAATGGATGGTATTTAATGAGACATTTAAAAAATGGGTTTTGACTACCTGTTCAGCTGGCAAACCCAGAAGTTCCATAGATAGCAAGGATTTCAAGTTTAGAGACTATTCCCATACATGTGAGGAGAGCACTAAAAGCATGTTTTACTGCTGTAGTTGTTCTTATTCTAAAAGCAATAGGAGATAATGCACCTATAGAAATTTCCATTTAAGATTTGGAAACATCCCATTTAACCAGGGACCTCTCTTAGTTTGTACTGGTTTTTACTATTGCATTTAAAGTTCTTAATAAAAAAATATATTTTAAAAAATTAATCAGCTTCTTACAAAATGCAAATATATGCTATAGTCTAAGCCAGGGGTGTCAAACTCAATTTCATTGAGGGCCGCATCAGCACTGAAGTTGGCCCTCAGGGGGCCGGGTGGGTGTGGCCAGAGTGGTGCGGCCTACTGGGTGGGTGTGGCCTACTGGGTGGGTATGGCCAGCTCTACATCATTCGCGTCAAGGGTGCCTGTGGGGGCCTGGGCAGGAGTGGGACAGATCTGAGGGTCTCTGGCAGAAGGGGCTGGGACCAGGGCAAGTGCCAAGGCATGGTCCACTGGAGGAGCCTCACTGTTCCTCTCAGGCCATGCGGGGGGAGGTTGGTGGTGCGGGCTACCCAGAGCCCTGGGCAGCAGAGGTCAAATGCCCAGCTTGGCCCTTGAGCACCCGTGGCACCAAGCCCAGCCCCACTTCCTCAAGGCTGCTGCTCAAGGTTCTCCTGGTTCCTCGCTGTTTCCAGACAGCCTTGTGGAGCTAAGACTGAATGTGTTTCAGCATAGATGGCCACCACAAAATTGTACATTGGCTCCCGGCTGGCCTGGGCCAGGGCCAAGGCAGAGGGGGCCATTCCCTCACTGTTTCCAAGATGGCTTCATGGGCCACATGAAACCACTTCGCGGGCCGCATCCGGTCCCCAGGCCTTGTGTTTGACATGTCTGGTCTAAGCTGAAAAAAGATCAAGTTAGCAATTTGAATTTTAATAGATTTAAACTGACTATAACTTCAACAGAGAGAGAAAGATGCAGGCAGCAGATGTGTGATTTCTATGAATTCCAGCACAACAAGCATACATGATCCTAAAAATCCAAGTCATGTAAAGTCCTTTACTTTTGACCTTGCATATTGGTCGCACAGTGGATTTTTAAAGGACAAAGATGGCAAACTTGTTTCATCTGGACTGAACAGCAGATACGCTGGGCAGGTAAAAAGTACTTTCTAATATCCATTGAGGAAAAAAATGTAAATATTTGTTCCACCATCAGTTGTGATGACAAAAATAGACTGCACAGACCAACCAGTGGGTAAGCCTGCCCAGTCCACATGCCCAGTCACAGCAAAATTTTAGTGCAAAGGGAAGTGATTGCAATCATTTTTATATTTCATGATTTAATCAAAAACCCTCCCTCTCTAACCATGAGAGGAAAATTTAAATTTAGTTCAACTCTCAAACTGGTTTAAGTATATTTTTCAGGTTGGGGGTGTGGAGGCAGGTGAATTTTGGTTCTTCACGGTTCCTACCATTTTCTTATCAGAGCTTCCTAAAGCTGAGTTTTCCCAACAACTACAGAAACTGAGAAACAGGGAAGTGTAGGATCCAACTTCAAATTTCTCATTTCCTAGATGAGTTCCTCCTTGGTTGACCGAAGAGGTAAACCAGCCAATTCTAGGAGGAATACAATAGGTGGGTATTAGATTGCAGTCTAATCTGAATAAAAATTAATATGAGTTTTCCAATTCAAGTCTTGTTAACGTTCTTTTCTTGGGCTGTCAGGTTTAACATGTTCAAAGTCCTCACTCCCTAGATAGCTGTGCAATTTAGACTTTAATATGGAAGTTTGAGGATAATTGAGATCCTTGGTACAACAAGACCAGCTGCCCTTATTCTCTCCTCTGCTTATCTGAAAAAATATGTGATGGGTGATGTGAACTTTGTATTTCGTTATATGTTTTTCATTCATCTTTTCCTTAGCCAGTGCTATCAATACTATCAGAGTTAAAGGGATGAGACAGCATCTTAATAATGGTTCTGGAGGCATTTTTAGAAAGCCACCCAAAGCCCTATGGCAGGGCTTTTCAACCTTTTCACCCATTGTGCCACTTTTAGGTTATGGAAATATCCGAGTACCACCAGTCTCCTAGCAAGGTGTCAAAAACGTGATGACCAAAAAAAAAAAAAAAAAAGGAAAAACGTGATAAAGTACAGGTAGTCCTCGACTTACAACAGTTCGCTTAGTGACTGTTCGAAGTTACAATGGCCCTGAAAAAAGTGCCCCCCAAGGCACAGCCAAGCAAGACACCTGCCTGCCTGCCCGGCGTCGCTCTTCCTCCTGTCCGAGGTTTTCATTGTTGTGAGCATTTCTGTTGAGGATTGGCAGCGGGGGTGGAGTGGGGGGTGTTTGGTTTTTATTCCCCCCCCATCTGCTGGGTGGTTGCAGCAGGTTTTGGTCACTTCACATGACCCTGGGACACTGTGACCGTCATAAATATGGATTGGTTGCCAAGCATCTGAATGTAAATGACAAGACCCTGGAGATGCTGCAACATTCCAGCTGATCAACGCTTCTTCTGGGCTCAGCAGAAGTACCAAGATCAGTGCCGAGCTCCAGCTAGAGCCTGGCGCTGATCCTGGCACTTCCACTGAGCCCTGACAGCTCCGAAGAAGTGCCGATCAGCTGGAAAGCGGCACTGATCCTGGCGCTTCTGCTGAGCCCTGACAGCCCTGCAGCTCCAGCCGTCTCTCGCTCAGGCTTTTGCGGTGCTGCCACCGGTTCAGCTCATTCCCCTCCCCCGCTACCACTTTTCTAGGATGGTTGCGTACCACCTGCCAGGTGCCAATGTAGCACAGGTGGTACCCGTACCACTGGTTGAAAAGCCCTGCCCTATGGCACCCAAAAGCTAATATCTGGGGGGGAGGTGCCCACATCTCCACTCTCAAGAAGTTACCTTTGTTTGGGCATGCTAGAATTTCCTTAACTGGATGTATTTTTCTTGAATGTCTGATCACACATTTGTAGGTATCACCAGATCAAGTTTTACCATTGGTTGTGATTACCCAATTAACATCACTATCATTTGTGCAGTTTAATTAAATCTGATAAAACTGAATGTTCTATCATTATAGAGGGACATTTTTCATGACCTTGGTGAGGGAATTCTGGACAATGCTTGGCAAGGTTACAATGCCACTCTTCTGGCTTATGGTCAGACCGGCTCAGGGAAGAGCTACTCAATGATAGGCCATGGTGCAAACAGAGGCATAATTCCAGTCATATGTGAAGAACTGTTTAAAACAATTCAAAATCAAGACACAAACAAACAATATCAGGTATGTTCAAAAGTTCAGGCATTGCAACTTAGTTGACCTATGAGCAGTTTACAAAAATGTTTACGTATATTGAGATACTGATTTATTTTTATCATAAATCGACGTGAAATCACAAGGTATTAAGAAATTGCACCACTAGAAGACCTGAAGGAATCGGTTGGGGACAAATTATCACAGGAAAAAACCTATATAATTGCTAATATTGATCACACATAATCAGAATAAGATATAAAAATGTAGTCAGAAATTACAAGATTTTTGAGGGACAAAGAACAAGTTTTCTTTATTGTGAAAATCGTATATATAAAAATATTTCAGATCATCCCATTACTTTCTATTGTATCAAAAAGGATCCATTTTTGACTTTCTAAGAAAAAGTGTCTTTCATTTGAAGAGGAAATTATGGGTAATTTGACTGCACCCTTTGCTATACAAGTATTTTTTTCAGATAGACATTCGTAATAAAAAATTAAAATCTATGTGGTGACAGCCTTTGGATGACTATAGTGTGTGTGTGTGTGTGTATAGATAATACACTGGAATGTTTTAAATCTTAAGTTTAAACAGCTACTTTCCAAGAAAGAGGGAACTCAGATAAAATACAACTGCAAGCTAGGTGTATACAATAATGCAGAACTCTATAGAACAGCGGTTCTCAACCTATGGGTCGTGACCCCATTTGGGGTCGATCGACCATTTCACGGGGGTCGCCAAGCAAGGCTGTCCGCCATTTTTTCCCCTTTTCTGGCGGGTGCCTTACCTCCCTTGAGCTGGGCCAGCTGGTGGTC